GTGCGCCAGATGCGCCACGTGCCTCCGCGTGCGCCAGGTGTGCCGCATACTCCAGCCGCGCCAGATGCGCCACGTTCGAGGCGCGTGCAGAGTGTGTTGGGTGCGCCTGCGCACGTGACAGCGACACATCGGGAAACATGCCGACCCCTAACATCCATGTCGAGGACCAGTGCCCATCATTGTGTCTGGTGCGCCTGCACACAGCATGCCATCCGTCACCACTTGACAGTGATTGCGGGGTGGCCGCGGGTGATCCAGATTTAGCCGCGGGATGCATTGTTTATTGTTTTTGTCAGAGAAGGTCGCCCTGCGCGCAGCAGGCAATATGCTGACATCCCCGCCGTTCCTGTAAAAAACCATACACTGTGCTCGTTGGTCTCACGAACATGACTGGACTTTGCCCCAAAGTGTACTTGGTATTGTTTTGTTGACAGGGATGGTGGGATGGTGGCCCTCATGGGGTTATCATTGCTCCTGGTTGGCTGCCAGTCGCCTGGAGGATGGGGTGTATATAGTAGGGAACAGTGATCGAGCAAGTAGGGTAGATGGTAGAGTAGAGTCGGGCATAGTAGAGTAAAGTAGAAGAGAGCAGAGGAGAGCAGAGCATAGTATGTCCGAGTAGAGTTGAGTAGAGCAAAGTGGGAGTAGGGTAGGCGTAGAGTAGAGAAGGATTTTGAGTAGGAGTATAATCGTGTAGTGTAGTGTAGTCTAGTGTAGAATACGTGACGGGAGGGTCGGGTCGAATAAATTGGGGGAGAGCAGAACAGGGTAGAGTCGAGTAGGGTATATGGTAGAGTTAAGTATAATTCGAGTGAAGAAAAGTAGAGTCGCGTAGATACGAGAAGAGTACTTCAGAGTAGAGTAGGGTAGAGCGGGAGTAGAGTATAGCAGAGTAGAGTAGAAGAAGGTTCCAGTAGGACTATGAGTATCATAGGGTATACTAGAGTAGAGTCTATTAGGGTTTGATCTGGTAGAGCAGGGTCGGTTATTGCAAATTATACTAGATAGTAGCAGGGTCGTTGGCAGAGTAGAGTCAGGCTTAATAGAGTAGAGTAGAAGGGAGGAGTCCACCCCAGGCCAGTCCAGTCTATGTTTGTCCAGTCTACTTCAATCCACTTTAATCCGCTTCATGTCAGCCTTCTGATCTGTTTGGAATCTCTCTGGCTGATTTGCTTGAGAGTTGTCTTGTAATTCTTATGTTGCGTGTTGTCCGTCGTTGTCGTTGTCGTCATTGCAATTCAGAAAGGGGAGGGGGCGGGTCGAACCTCCTCCCTTGCACAAGGGGGGGAGGGCTGGTTCGACACCTTCCCCCCTGCAACTCCGGGGGGGGAGCCCCCCCACCCGGGTTCGACACCCCCCCCCTGGACGGGGGGGCGCTTTCCCTCTCCCGGATAGGGAAGCCGACGTCCGGTGGGGGGAGGGCGCCCCCGCTTCTCCGGGCATGCTGAATGGTTGTCCTGGGGGGCCAGTTTCACGTGTTCAAATGTTATCCTAAGGCAAGGGTCCACGAAATGCGGTCTCTCGTTCTAGGCCTCCTCGATGGGGTCGGAGTAGATGAGGTCGGAGGATCGCCCCGCATCGCCGAGGCATCGGCGATGTGGCTCGGTTTGGAGTCCGATTTGTTTCACGTCGACGTCGCCGATGCAAAGCCCACGTCGACGATGCATCGCAGGTGCATCGCCGATGTATCGCCGATGCATCGCCGATGTTTCGGCGATGCGGCGCGATCCTCCGACCGCATCTACTCAGACATCGTCTTGGAGGCCTCTGCTCGTTCTCTCCACGATGCCAGCGTCACCAGCCTTGCCAATGCTTCAACGATGCCGAAGCAGCTCTTACTGGAATGGGTCCCAGGTCTCCAGCGCCCCCTGCAGCTCGTCCCACCTTGTCCTCACCCCGAGGCTTCGCGCCCTTAGCATTAAGTCGGGCACGTCCCTCTACAGGAGGAGTATTCGAAAAGAGCCAAATAATGTTTTGAACTATGTTTGACAATGTGGGAGTTTTCTTCTTTGTCATCCAGAATCCTCCTGGAGGGGGACATACCCGACCTAGCCTTAAGAGCCGTGTCCCGTGCTTACCCATGGATCCCCACAACAAGTGGGGTTCGATTACGCCAGGGTATTTCTCATGGGAACGGGCGAGGGGGAGGGCGGGGCAAGAGTAATCGTGGGTGCTTCCCAGTGCATGGCACCTGGAAGTATCCAGGACCACAACCGAGCCCAGCTAATTGGCTACTGACCCTAAATCGGCGACGACGTAGGCTACATCCAGGGCTCAACAGCAAGGAAGTGTGTGCGAACTTGCTGAGCATGTACTTCTGCACATGGCCGTCGCACCAGCACGGAACGCACAGCAGATGCCGTACCAGGCTACGCAGGGCGATCCTTGACACAGGAGGCGAAGAGGCGGAGGCAGCCGCTGCAGGCCGTAAAGGTGCATAGCATACGGTCGGGAGCTTTTGGGTAGCGTGCCGCTCCTCGAAGGACAAACACCATGAACACGTGTTCGCGGAGCTCCGGGCGGATCCCTCGGATCTGCGCTGTGGGCCCCCTTGGCGGGCCTTCCGGCGCCGCACGCCAGGCAGAGCTCCGGCGCAGAGCCAAGACAGCCGCGCGGAGCTCCACACACATTTATCGGGCCGGGCGAAAGGGGGGGATTGGGAAAGGGGGGGTTACGAAATTTGCTGCATGCAGCTGGTTTCGGCCCGACCGAGGGGCCCATTCCTCGATACATGCCTCTGGCGCCGGGAGGCGCCGGGAAAATCAGCTACGTGAGCTGATTCTCAAACCCCCCCTTTGCTATCCCCCCCTTTCGCCCGGCCCGAATTTATGCTTAGGCCCCTTTCTTGTTCCTCCAGCTCCGCCGGCTCTGGCCCACCGCGCTCCGGCGCGGCATGCCATCCACTTCGCGGGCCCCAGGCGTCCACGCCCCGAGCCTCTCCCGACCTCTCGCCCCGCGGAGCGGGGCGGCACGCTGTTCGCTCGCGAGGGGCAGCGTGCCGCCCGGGCCGCCGCAGCGACGGGCGAAGCAAACGTTCCCGGCCGTCCCGCGCTGCGGCCGCGGGCTCACGCCCATCGGGCCGTCGAGCCTGTTGGCCCCCGCAACGCCTTGTCTTAAGTCGGGTCTGTCCCTCCACAGGGGGGAAGATTCAAAGATAGTCAAAACATTGTCTGGGGACTATTTCTTGAATAGCTTTAGCCAGCTCTTGAGCATCTTTTGGGTACCTTTTATGTTTCGTCCAATATCCCCCTCTAGGGGGACAGGCCCGACCTGAGCCACGTCGCATGCGCCGACGTCGCCTCTGACGTGGATCGCTGCTCCGTGGGGGCCGAGTGGCCACGCGGGCCGGGTCCGGCACAGGCTCAGAGCTCAAGAGCCCGCTTCCGTGGCCGCCGCGGGCGACGTGCGCCCTGGGAGCAAGGGCTCCCACGAGGGCGCCAAGTTATTCGCGCTTCGCGGTCCTCGTTCTATCTCCCCCTCCTCCCCGTCCTCCTTCTCTCCTGTTGGGGGGGCGGCGCGAGAGCGCGAAGTTATTCGCGCTTGGCGCTTCACGGAGCGCGAAGCGCCAAGCTGGGAGCCCTAGAAGAGGAGGCCTTTGATCACCGAGCGCGTTCCACCACTCTCGGAGTGCTCGGGGCTGGACAGAACCCCCAATAGTGACACGTCGATTAGTGAATTGTCCGTTTTCGGTTCTCGAGAGGGCGCCGTGGCCGTCAGTTTCCAGGCTTTCGCCCGCCAGATTTGGGCCCGAGGTCGTTTTCACTAAACCACGTTTTGCTAAAGGGGGTTCTGTCCATCCCCGAAGTGCACATCCGCGCAGGCGTCCAGGAAATACACGTCTGCCTCGCTGCAGGGGATCGCATGTTTCCCGCGGCGGGTCCGGGCCACTTGCGAGCAGGCACTCTGCGAGTGGTGTCAAGTCGGGCACGTCCCTCCACAGGAGCAACATTCAAAAATAGTTGAAGAGGTAGTCTGGGGACGATTTTCTGTGTGTATTTGAACATTGTGGGGTATTGTTTGTCAATGCTGCATTTGTCGTCCAAAATCCTCCCGTATGGGGGACCCGCCCGACCCACGAGAGGTGGGACGCGCCTGTCCATTTGAGCTGCACCGTGCCGGCCTGGACGTGGCGCACAGGGGCGCGGCGCGTGCGCGGCGCCTCCTCCGGGCGGCTGGGCCCACGCCAGCAGGGCGGCTGTGAGCATCGGACAGTTCAGTCGGGCGTTTTCGTTTCCACAGGGGGAAGATTCGAATATAGTCAAAAAATTGTCCGGGGACGATTTTTTGTTATACCATGTCTGAATATTTGTTTTATTGTGTTCTACTCTTCGCCCAAGAACCGCCTGTAGGGGGACACGCCCGACCTAATCTGACAGATAACTGGGCCTAGAGAGCGGGCAGGATCTACGGGGCGCGGGAATCCACGGGCTCAACGCTCGAGCCCACGGCCCCGACATGCGGACGAGGGGGAGGAGAGTGAGGACTGGGAGCAGGATGAGGGGGGACGGAGATGGACTCAGGCTCGGATGTCGAAGATGGTGATGACGATGACGCCAGTGCGTAGAAGTTACATAAGCGTGTTTGTGCATGGTCGGCGGTGTCTTGCCACTAGAGCCTTGCTACTGCGACCGTTGCTGTAGCTGGCCAGGGAGCTGGAATTCGTCTGAGCCATGTTTGTGTATGAGGGCGTACGCATGTGCGTGCGAGCATTCGCGTCCGAAGGCTAGGCTGCTCGCTAGGCTGCATCTAAACATTATTTTGCGGTTGCGTATGCTTGCCAGTGTGTTTGTGTTTGTGGTCGCGTTTGTGTACTGCGTGTGTGTGTGTTGTGTTTGTGCGTGTGTGCGCGCGTGCATTTGTGTGTGCGTGTCTGTGTGTGTGTGCCTGCTGAGGTGTGATTCCTCGCGTGCTGCTTGTATTAGCATGTGCATGCGCGTTTGCTCATTAATGTGATTGTCTGGTGTGATCTGCTGCCCAAAGCGCTGTGACATTGAGCGCAGGTGCTACTTGGTATCATTATCTCCCTCATAGTGAACTGCACGCTGGTGCTCACCTCCTCTTAATGTTTCTCATGCTAGGGAAGCAGTAATCAAGTGGACGAACATGCGAGGAGGGAGAGGAGGATGAAACAAGGACGAGTAGTAGTTTCACGAACGTAGTAGGAATGCCGGATGCGGACAGGAGAGCGAAAAATGGCGATAGACGCAAGATGCAGGTCTCATTTTGGAGATCCGAGGACGAGAACTCAGGCAGGTCAGTTGCTAAAAGGGTTCCGTGATGAGGGGGGGCAGGGGCAAAGGAGGACGGATACGTGGAAACGCACAGGACATCAAAAGGGATGAGGGGGAGGACTGGTTGGGCAGAAAGGCTAAATGACGTGCGAACGCACAGAAGAAGCGAAGGAAGGTTACCACACTACTGGTTCTCTGGGCTGCAAGCTTTCGCCGAGGTGGCAAATATGTACCGTGCTTCGCTTGGTCTTGCAGGCTGCTAGCCTCAAGTCGGGCACGTCCCTCTACAGGAGGAACATCCCAAAATAGTCAAACATAGTGGGGGGGACGATTTGTTGAGCATTTTTGTTTGATCATTTCGGATTTTTGTTTTCGTATGTTTTATTTGTCTTCCCAAATCCGCCTGTAGGGGGATACGCCTGGTTGAATGCGAGCCTCGTCGGCGCTCCCTGCTCTCTTCGAAACAGACCTTCTCTGGTGCTGAGGGAGACGACGCCTGCCCACGGCGCGCGGTCGAGGCTGCTCGCCGTGGGTACACTGGCGGTGTGCAGTCCCGCTGGGGTCAGGCCCTTGCCCTGCGCGGGCTGGAGGAGAGGAGGAGGATCGAGACCTCCTCCTCCCTCGTCCTCTTTCCTGCTCTTCTCTCCTCTCCTCTCCTCTCCTCTCCTCTCCTCTCCTCTCCTCTCCTCCCTCCTGGTTCGTCGCCCCCCCCCCTCCTTCCTCGCTGCGCTCCGGCCGTAGGGGTCCCGCCCACCGAACGGTCCTGGGCCCGCTGCGTGCAGCCAGAGGCTCCGCCCGTGCAGGCCCTGCCCAGAGGTCTACGCGGGAGGGCCCCCGGGCCCACCGCACAGGGCGCCGGGGCGGTGCAGGCCGCAGGCTGCAGGCCGCAGCTTCGCAGGAGCCCGCCCACGGGGTCGGGCCACGCCTTGGCTGCCCGGCATGCTGGCGCTGGCGGTGGCTCACAGGATCTCGCCCGGAGGGTTCCAGTTTTATCTGCCTCGGAATGCCCCTCTCATTGACTGGTTGGGGTCCGCTCGCTGTTGTCTTTGAGCAGTTGCATGAGCTAACGACTGATCTCTTGAATTTCTGATCTGCTACCGCGCGTATCGGGGCATGTCTCTCTCCTATCTGTTGCCTGCGTGAAGGGCCTCGAGGCCAATTGCGGGTCTCGGGCTGCTGCTGAAGGTCCCGGTTTTCCCCCCGACAGGGGCTGAGAACGCAGCGGAGCTCGTCCGTTTCGGCAGTCACGGGAACAGAGTTGGAGAACGTGAGATAGAGCAGGGCGAGGGGACGAGGGGATGGACGCGGGAGGAGCAGCCAGAAGGTGCGTTGGAGCTTCTCTTGGGTTGTTTGCTTCGGTTCCTGCGGAGCGGCTGCGGGCTGCGCGGCAGTGCCGCTTGCTGGCCGCTGGTGGGTGGGAGGTCGAGATCAGCATCAGCAGCTACTTCTCCCTCTACTTCGGCGTCCTCTTCGTCGTGGTGGCTCGGGCTCACCGTGGCCAGTATCCGGCGATCTGGATGGCAGGGGTCAGCCCGCGTGTGCCAACACGAATGTGTATGCTCTCGCTATGCCCGATTTTTGTGGCCATTCGGCTCAGACGTTTGGCCGATTTTGAACGACGGTTGGGCGCAGAAGCTGGCCCCTGGGCCGTGCACCCTCGACGCTGCGCGGCGGCGGATCAGCAACGTGAAGGTGTTACATGAGCACGATCTCATCAGTCCGCGTCGTGCGCTGCAGGCGGAGGAGGCCGAGTTTGAGGGGACTCGTGCAGGCGGCAGAGGCCGCAGACCTCAGCGTGGAGGAGGCGCGGCAGCCGTTGAAGGATTTTGTGGGTCGGGCCGTGGCCGAGGGGGCCTATGCAGAAGCGTATGAGGGCGTGCCACGGGTGCCCCGAGCGGGCCATGCTGGAGGACGCCGCGGCATGCCTCCCGCTGAGGGATGACCAAAGCACTTCCGAGGCTCCACCGCCGCCGGGCGCCCGTGCGACGGCGGGGGCTTCGCTTCGCGCGGAAGTGCCGCGCGGTTGCTGAGGAGAGCCGTCGCGAGCTGGAGGTGCAGGACGGAGTGGGACTGGTGGAAGCTTCGCTTCGTCGCGCTGTCCGAGGAGATGGGCCCCCCCCCCGAGACGGCGCAGGACTGCGAGGACCCGGGCCGGGCGAAACACGGCGTCGCTGGCCGCGCGCGCGAGGTCGCATGTGCGGGCCATGGGGGCGACGCGCTGGTGGCTTTTCCACGCGCGCGGGGTTCGTTCCTGGATCCGTTCCCTCGCGTCTCGCTTCTTGCGTCTCGCGGGATGGGTTTCGGGACTGGGGGCGTGGATGAACCCCGTATACTTTTCCTGCCGTTTCCTGTGCCCTCTGCTCTTTTTCGGACCGCGGGCGTTGGCTATTTAGTTTAGTGAGGCACGCACTGCGACGGACTTCTCGGGCAGGATAGACTTGTTATCGTCGCCCGTCAATCCACGGTGCCGCCTTTGTCGACGGATGCTCGGGAAGAGATCGGCCCTGCGGTCAACCTTTCCGGCTCAGTGAACTTTCCTGCGCGCTACATGGATGCCCCCTGCCGCGGTGGGCTTTCCGGAGGGCGGGAAGGGCTTCAAGACCGTGCCCATGCCCTCTCTGCAGGGCGGGTGGCGATGCTTGGCCGCGGAGGCGGGGGGCGCGATGTGCCGCTGGCGGCCTTCGACGATAGCATCGTCTGGTGGGGTTCCCCCGGGGACCGAGCCCCCGTGCCTCTGGGCCTCCGCCCCTTTTCGTCCTTGGTGACTCATTCGGGGGGCATCAAATTCCTGGGAGTGGCTCGGGCCCCTGTGCCACAGGGTCCCCGTTTTCGTCGCCCGTAACAGAACCATCAACGTCCCCTTCCCCTTTTTGGCCACCATCGCACCGATTGCAGGGCCATTCGAGGATACAGAAAACGTACTGGGCCGATTCAGGAGTATGATCAAACATGTATTTCTCAAAGTTGGATACCACAGGTCAAGCGCACCATTTGGGAAACAACATATCGTACTGTTGTTGCGAGATCCCAGGCTTTCCTTAGTAATCCAGCTGCCTGCGGCAATTCCGAATACCCTGCCAGCCCAGCATTATGGGTGGCGACGAATTAGATGATGGGGGGAACGTGGTGGCGATGTGGATGCAAATTGTTGACGCGTCGCGAATCCCCACCTGCCCATCCAAAAACGATGCCCCGAGATTTTCCCTCAATCAGGGAAGCGGGTAGCACACAGAGGAAGGGTCCCCAAGTGGAGGCTTCTTGGAGCGTTTTGGGGGCCTCTTGGCGGTCCCGGGCGCCTCTTATAGCGACTGGGGTGCCTCGGAGAGTTTCGTGGGGCCTCTTGGGGGTCTCTTGGGAGCCTTTTGGGGGCTTCTTGGGCGCCTGTTGGGGCCTCCTGGGGCTTCCTGGACGTCTCTGAGGGCCCTTTTGAAGTGTTCTTGGGGGCGCTTTTGGAACCCTCTTGGGCCATCTTGGAGCCATCTTGAGGCTTCGGCGAGAAAGCCAACAACATGGATGTCCCCAAAGATTTGGAAGGATGTTGGCCTCTTCGGGGCCTCCTGGGGGAGCTCTTTGTCCACTTGGAACCGTCTTGGAGCGGTCTTGGGGCCTCTTGGAGCATCGTGGGCGCCATCTTGAGCCATCTTGGGATATCTTGAGTCATATTGGGCGCTCTTGGAGTCATCTGAAGCAGTGCCCCTCCCAGGAGGCCAACATGTTGCCAAAACCTTAGTGTAATCAGCGATTTTGGCATTGTCGCCGAGGCCTCTTGGAGCGTCTTGGGTGCCTCTTGGGGGGCCTCTTTGAGGTCTCTTGGAGGTCTCTTGGGAGCCTCTTCGGGGCATCCTGGCGGCCTCCTGGGGGCCTCTTGGGGCTTCCTGGCCACCTCTTGGGGCCCTCTTGGGGCATCTTTGGGAGCCTTGGGGGCGCTCTTGGGGCCATCTCGGACGAGATCGATCAAAGAAGGGGGGTTACGGATTACAGTCGCCCCCTCAGAAGGCCAAAAATGGGGCCACAACTTAGTAAAATCAATGGTTTTGGCTTCCTCGCCGAGGCCGTTTTGGACGCCCTGACACCTTGCGAGACCCTTGGTTCAGGTCCAGGGGGGGGGGTAAGGGGGATGGGTAAACCCCTCCACGGAGGAGAAGAAGGAGGGGTGGAAGAGGAAATTCCCTAAACCACCGACGCCCAGAGGGCTATTGGGATTCTGACGATGATGATGGGGAGGAGGACGGGGGGGAGGAGGAGAAGGAGGAGGAGGAGGAGGAGGAGGAGGAGGAGGAGGCAGAGGAGGGCGGTTGATGGTGATGACGATGATGATGGTGTTTGTTTTGCGGTTGGTGATGATGACGGTGGCAAAGGGGGAGAATGAGGTGCAGGAGGAAGTTGTGAAACAATCCAAAGCCTCTTGCGTTGGGTTCTCGTCTTGAACCGAACAATGCGGTTTCCGTCCTCTCCCGCCTTCTTCTCCTCTCCTCTTTCTTCTGCTCTCTTGCTTCTTACCTCCTCGCCTCGCCGTCCTACGTCACCTCGCCATCACTGGGGGGTTGCGATCTGCGAAACTGTCCCCAGTTTCGAGGGTTGCTGGTGGGTCTAGCGGAGTGAAGCACCACCTAGATTCAGATTGGACCTCGCCATCCCTGGGGGGCTGCCATCTGTGAAAATGCCGCCACTTTCGAGGGCTGCTTGGGGGATTCAGCGGAGGGAGGCACCACCCAGATCCAGATTCGACCTCGCTATCCTTGGGGGGCTGCGATCTGTGAAACGGTCGCCACTTTCGAGGGCTGTCGGGGCGTTCAGCGGAGCGAGGCACCACCCAGGTTCAGACTAGACCTCGTCATCCTTGGGGGGGGCTGCGATCTGCGCAGTTGTCATCGGTTTCGAGGGTCGCTGGGGGGGCTCAGCGGGGTGAGGCACCACCCAGATTCAGAATCGACCTCGACATCCTTGGGGGGCTGCGATCTGCGAAGTTGTTATCGGTTTCGAGGGTTGCTGGGGGGGGCTCAGCGGGGTGAGGCACCACCCAGATTCAGATTCGACGTCGCCATCCCTGGGGGTCTGCGATCTGCGAAAATGCCGCCACTTTCGAGGGCTGCTGGGTGGTTCAGCGGAGTGAGGCACCACCCAGAATCAGAGTAGACCTCGCCGTCCCTGGGGGGCTGCGATCTGCGAAACCGTCACCACTTTCGAGGGTTGCTAGGTGGTTCAGCGGAGTGAGGCACCACCCAGACTCAGATTAAGCCTCGCCATTTTGGGGATCGCGATCTGCGAAACCGTCGCCACTGTCGAGGGCTGCTGGGTGGGTCCGCGGGGCGCTGTCGCGGGCCGCCCGCAGTCCTGGCGGCGCGCCTTCGGGTGTTTAGCTCCCGCACTGAAGCGTGCATGATGAAAGCAGGGAAACTGGCGAGGGAGCTAGGCCTCGCCCGCTTCTTGCACTATCGATTCGCAGGTTGAATCATGCTGTCGAGCGCCGCGGCGTCATGGCGCAGGCGGTGCTGCATGTTGAGCGGACTGCCGACAGCAGCAACACTCTCCGGTTTCCTGCCGTCACCTTCGTCGTCGTCCCATGCTCCTTGCCACCTCGTATCTGCTGCTGCCGCGCTGACGGCTTCGGCCCCCCACGCGTCCTTCTTTTGCTTTTCGTTCCCGCCCCCATGTCCTCCTCAAGCCTGGGCCCTCGCTCCTCGTCCTGATGGTGTTGTCCTGCGAAGCGTGACACGTGAGCGCGCCCCGTGCAGCACGCACAACACATAACGGCGCCTGCACTGCCATTGTCCTGACAAGGTTGGGCCAATTCTCCTTGACATGTTATGAGAATTGGCTGGGTGCGTCGCAGGCATATATACATATATGAAAGAGCGTGTTCTACCGCTGCTGGCAGAAAACCGGGGGGGGTCACTACCGGTTCGAACACCTCCCCCCCCCCCCCTCCGGAAAACCGGGGGAGTCACTACCGGTTCGAACCCCTCCCCCCCCCCCCCAGCTCATCATGAAAAGGGGGGGGGGTCACTACCGGTTCGAACCCCTCCCCCCCCCCCCCCCCCCTCGGAAACCGGGGGGGGTCACGATCGGTTCGAACCCCCCCCCCCCCTCCTCGAAAACCGAGTGGGGGTGCGGACAGTGGTGGGGACGGTGTTGGTGGGGACAGTGGTGAGGGGATAGCGGGACAGTGGTGGGGACAGTGGGACAGTGGGACAGTGGTGGGGACGGTAGTGGTGGGGACAGTGGTGGGGACAATGGTGGGAACAGGGGGGGACAGTGGACAGTGGTGGTGACGGTGGTGGTGGGGACAGTGGTGTGGGGACAATGGGAATGAGGTGGAAACAGTGGGACAGTGGAGGGTACAATGGTGGTGGGGACAGTGGTGAAGGCGGTGGCGAGGACGGCGGTGGGACAATGGGACAGAGGTACAGTGGGGACAGTGGTGGGGACAGTGGGGACAGTGGTGGGAACAGTGGGACAGCTCAGTGGGACAGCGGAGGAGTCAGTGGGACAGTGGGGACAGTGGGGATAGTCGGGCAGTGGTTGGGGCCGTGGAGACAGTGGGGAGAGTGGAACCGTGGTGGGAACAGTTCTGGGGACAGCGGGGACAGTGCGACAGTGGTGGGGCCACTGGTGGGGACAGTAGGGGCGGTGGTGGAACCAGTGGGGACAGCGGTGGTGAGGACAGTGGTGCTGGGAACACCAGTGGGGGATGTGATGCGGACGGTGGTGGGGACCGGGAGTCGTTTGCTGGCGGTGAGTAGGGGGGGGGGGGGGGGGGGGGGGGGGGGGGGGGGTCGAACCGGTAGTGACCCCCCCCGGTTTTCCGGAGGGGGGGGGGGAGGGGTTCGAACCGGTAGTGACCCCCCCCGGTTTTCGAGGGGGAGGGGGGGGGGGTTAGGGGAGGGGAGGGGTTTTGCCGGGGGAGGGGGGGGGGGGGAGGGGTTCCAGCAGGGGGGGGGGATTTTCGGAGGGGGGGGGGGGGCGACCCCCGGGTTCTGGAGGAAAAAGTTGGCAATTTTCCACAGTAAAGCGGCGGTGGATCACGCTCTCTCACATATATACACACGAAAAACGTCACATGTGACACATTTCGTCTCCACCAATTGAGGAACCGTCATGGAACTCAGTTGGGCCGTATTGGGGTGTTCTTGGGTTCTTGTGCGGCAGTCTTGTGGGTTCATTGGGGCCGTCTTGCGCCGTCCTGGGGACCCCTTGCGCCGTTCTGGAGCTCTCGTGCTCCGTCGTGAGGCCTTCTTGGCCGTATGGTGCGCGTCTGGGGGGACCGTTGTGGGGCTGCGTTGGGCCGTCGGGAGGCCTTTGGAGGCCCTTTGGGGTCCCTCGGGGTGGCCCTCTGGGGCCGTCTTGGGGCCATCAGGGATGCCTGCCAGGCCGGCATGGGACCCCTCGGGCCACGCGGGTGCTCTCTGAGAGGGCTCCTGGACCGTTTCGGGGCCATCGCGGGGGCGCCTCTTGGGCCGTCTTGATGCGTTGGGCGCCCGGAGCGGACGAGAGTGCGAACAGCATGTGGCACCATCTAGAATCGATGATTGTGCATCCTTCGGGCCCTGCTGGAGGGCATCTCGTGGCCCTTCGGGGCCCTCTTGGAGGCATCTTGGGCCGTCTTGCTGCCAGATTCGGCCGTTTTGGGGACCATCTTGGACCGCCTCGAGGCATCTTAGGCTATCTTAGTGTCCTTGGTTGCTTGCATAGGCCGCATTGGGAGCTCGGGGTGCGGATCCTTTGTCTTTAACGAGGGATCGTGGGCGAGCGCGGACCCATGTTTTTCCCAACCATGCTGTGGTGTTGGGTCCTCGTTTTGAAGAAACAGTCCCCGCGTCCCTCCTCTTCTCTCCTCTCCTCTTCTCTCCTTGCCTGTCCTCTCTTCTCCTCTCCCCTCTTCACCTCTCCTCTCCTCTCCTGTCCTCTCCTGTCCTCCTTCTCTTCTCCTGCTCCTCCTCCTCCTCCTTCTCCTCTTCCCGTCGCCCCCCTCACTTTGGCAACCCCTCCCGCATTGTGTGGCCTCAGCAGGAGCTCCACCAAAGGATCCAGCTGCATTGTTCGCATGCCGCTCCCCCTCCAGTTTGGTACATCCCTCACTCCTCACACGTTTCGTGGCACAACGGGGAGCTCCACCGAAGGCCCCAGTGGCATGGTTCGCATGCCGCCCCCCTCCACTTTGGCACACACCTCACACGCTTCAAGGCTCAATAGGGAGCCCCACTGAAGGCCCCAGTGGCACGGTTCGCATGCTGCCCCCCCTTCGCTTTGGCACACCCGTCACACGTTTCGTGGCCCCACATGGAGCTCTACCGAAGGCTCCAGCGGCATGGTTCGCATGCCGACCCCCCTCCACTTTGGCACACCCCTCACACGCTTCGCGGCCCCACAGGGAGTTCCACTGAAGGCCCCAGCGGCATGGCTCTCATTTCGCCCTCCCTCCACTCTGGCACACCCCTCACACTTGCCATGGCCCCATAGGGAGCTCCACTGAAGGCCCCAGTGGCGTGGTTCGCATGCCGCCCCCCCTCCATTTTGCACACCCGTCACACGATTCGTAGCCCCATAGAGAGCTACCGAAGGCTCCTGTGGCACGGTTCGCATGCCCACCCCCTCTATTTGGGCACACCCGTCATACGTTTCGTGGCCCCACAGGGAGCTCTACCGAAGGCTTCAGCGGCATGGTTCGCATGCCGACCCCCCTCCACTTTGGCACACCCCTCGCACGTTTTGTGGCCCCATAGGAAGCTCAACCGAAGGTCTGGCGGCATGAATTGCATGCTGCCCTCCGTCCACTTTGGCACACGCCGCGTGCGTTTCGTGGTCCCACAGGGAGCTCCACTGAAGGCCCCAACGGCAGCGCCCACATGGCTGTCCCACCCCACTGTAGCGCACCCTTCGCGCGCCTCGTGCCCATTGGGAGCTCCACCCAATGCAGTTCTCACACCGGCGGTATTCACAACTGCGTATGGTTGGGTTTCTTGGCAAGGATAATGGTGTAAGGGATCGTGTCTTCGGGAGGGGGAGGGGGCGGTGCATGCAGGTAGACGCTGGAGGAGGGGTGGGCGTCCCTTGTTGGAATGCAGAAGCCCTACCCGGCAGCACTTGGCACTCTTCCACGCCTCAACGTGCACAGGGCGCGATGGCGGGTCGTGGACATCCGATGTGCAAGTTGTTTGTTGGACACCCTGGGTTTGATGTGGTCGGCATGTGATGCAACTGCAGCGATTGCAGTGTGAGCATGTAGTGTGAAGCGGGCGATGGTATACTGGGACCGCGGGACATATGCATTGGAATTGAGACGGAAGTGTGATTTCAGTGCGAAAGGGCTCGTATCGAAGAATTGGCGCGAGTGTTTTTTGTCTGATCTATCCCATGTGAGTGGGTCCTCGTTTTGCGTCAGCATCGCACGCGTCTCCTCATTCTCCTTATCCTTCCCTCATCCTGCCTGTGCTCTCCGCATACCCATTTCGGCACACCCTTTACACGCTTCATGGCCCAAAAGGGAGCTCCACCGAGGTCGCCAGTAACAGTGTCCGCATGGCACCACCCCGCCCATTTCGGCACACCTACTGTCTCTTGAGCAAAGGACATCCAGGTTGAACGCCTTCCAGTTGAGAAGCCTGCTGGAAATTCTAGGGGTCGTGTTTTTTGTTAGATTTTCCAATGCGATTGCGCTCGACTCGCCGATATCCATCCCTTGTTCACGATCCCACGCGATCGCCATATAGACCTGTTTAAGAACGTCCTCTCTCACAGTGGCCCAGCACCAGTTACACAATAAGTGTGCGGCGCCAGGGGGGTCCCGAGAATTGGGCCCACCGCATGCGCCGGAGGCGCTCGAAACAGAATTGGGCGACATGTGTTCATGGATTTCTGTAGTTGCGTCTTGTTTTCTGTTTCACAGTCGTAGGGAGTTACGTGTTCTGCGTCACTGTCTTCATGCGCACAGCGTTGCTCTTTCCACAGTCGTGGTGCGCTCCGCTTCTGCTTCACAGTCGTGCCCTCTGCCATCCCCTTCCTCCCTCCCTTTTCGCTTCCCCTCTGACTCCTCCTCCTCCTCCTTGGGTCTGTGCGCATTTGGACACCACGGTAGGTTCGCGCGGCGTTGGCACGCCGGCGACGCCAGCGAAGGCGTTCAAGGTTGAATTCTGCGACGCGGAAGCACCGATGGACACGGCAATGCCATTGGACCAGACTGAATTCAATTTTGAACGATCGGGGCCGCGATCGATTCAAGGTTGAACGATCGACGCGGTGTCAAAAAACTTAACGCGCGCCGACGCCGCACGAACCTATCGTATTCCTCATGGGGACGCCCCGGCCTTTCCGACACACCCCTCGCACGTTTCGAGACTCCAGAGTGAGGACCCCAGCCGCAGGGTCCGCACGGCGCCACCCCGCCCAGTTTTTGCGCACCCCACAGGGAGCTTCTCGGAGGGCCACAGCGGCCCGTCGAGTCCGACATGGATTCTGCACGGATTCGACGGGGCTAGGGGCGCGACGGGACAGGCCAGGCCCCCCGAAGATGCAGCATAACAGTGGCAGGGCCCAAATGGCGCTTCTTTTCGTCTGCGCTGCGGCGCTCGCACCTGCACGTGCCTGGACCCTTCACGAGGATAGCTGCTAAGGGATCGGGGGAGGGGGGTGGCGATGCACGCAGAACTCTGCTGATAAAGGGGGCGCCCCAGGAGTCGGAAACTGGAGCGTGCAGTGGAGACTCATGCCAAGAAACACCCTGCTTGCCTCCAGGTTGCCCAAGGGTTTCTTGGGTTGCCATGTTTTTTGCTGGTTTCTTGGGTTGCCATGGCGGTCTTTCAATCCCAGGACTTCTTAGGGTCGGGGAAGACGTCGGGGTGGTGTGGTGTATACTTTCTCCCTCGTTATCCCAGGGACGCAACGAAAAATGTACACACCAGGATCCGCTTTCCAGGCTGTAAATTTCAGTACAGGGCCAGAGACAGCGTCGGTGTATAGAGTTTGTTTTCCCACCATATGATCACCGAACAAAAAGCCCACCAAACAGTATTAGGCATTCTACCACGCCTGAACGTGCCAGGGGGCACGGTGGCGGGTCTTCTCTCTCGTCCCCCTTCTGCTCCTCGGCGCCAAGGTGGGGGCCATCATCCTGTGGAGAATATTTAGCCAGGAGCCCGGTGACGGAATGGGGTGCGCCTTTTTGCTTGTGCAATGCGCTGTGGTCAGTTTTGCAAGGCAGGCATAGCGCGATGGCCAAAGCATAGTCAAGCCCTCCGATGCTACACACGATGGACACCGTTGCATCTTCTCCTGGATGCCCTTGCCTTGGTCCCACGCAGGGGTGGGATGATTACCGCGCTTCGCGAGCTTGCCCGCGACGGCTGTCCTTCTCCACGGAGCGAACCAGGGCGCGAAGAGGGCCGCTCGCGTGCCCTGGTGCCTCGGCATCGGCCGATGTCGAGCGATCTTGCGCGATCGGGAAGCCGCGATCGCTCGAGGTGGAGCGACGCACGCGATGTCCGAAGCCAACGCGCAGGTCGCCACGACACGGGAAGGCCGTGTGCCCCCCCCCCGCCCCCCGTGCGCCTCGCGCGTTCCCACCCCGAGCTCGCCATGGCGTCCCCGGCGCTCAGAAGGGCGCCAAAGTTCTGTTCACGAGCCGGTTTTTGCAAGCATCTTTCTACAGCTCCTGTGCGAGCGCAGAGAGCATTTGGGGATCGCTCCTCACTCCTCCTCATCCTCCCTCCTCATCCTCCTCCTCAACCTGGCTCTTCCTCGTCTGGCTCGTCTTCCTTCCTCTCGACCTCCTCCGTCTCATTCTCTTCTTTCTCTTTCCCACTGTAGGAGGATGCCACAATGCATTGAACGCAAGTGGCCTCGCTACCTCTCCTGTGGGAGGGGGTACCTTGCTACGTTCTGTCATCCCATCCTTATGCTCGACCTCACTGCTGGATCCAACTGTTCAGTACATCATGTTGAAGCAGGTGGGAGGAGGATGGGAGGAGGGATGAGGGAGGAGATATGTGGAGAAGGGAGAGGGTGAGGCAGCCAGAAGGGAAAGATGAAGAGGGGCCACCGACCGATCCGTCTTGGTGATGCGTCCTCGGCTCGTTTTCACATGGTGATGCCCAGAAACTCTGCGCGATCGAAGCCTCTTGCAACTCTGGTTGTTGCTCTAGGCCTGCTTGTAGGGATGAGCAAGGCGAGGTCGACGAGGAGTGCGGAAGAAGAGGGAGAGGAACGGCATTCGAATAATATCAAGTTGCATCCGCCATAGCGGCACCTCTGGCGCCGCCCCTGGTGCGCCCCGCGTGCAAGGGAGTGGGTCCATCGCCGAACCAGCGAACCTCCGAAAGTTCATGTTTATGTTGCTTGTTCTAGTTCTTGATCTAGGCAGGGAGAGCGAAGTTTTAGCTGCAGCCACCATGTACCTCGTGTACTTTTCGCTGCTCTCCCTGCTCCTGCTGGCGAGGTCGACAGCAAAGCGAAAGCCGCTCAGCGCCTTCGCGCTGCTCATCATCCTCTCAGGCACCTGCCGCGTGCCCGAAGCGCCCGGCTGCCCTTTCTATTTCTCCCACCCCCTCCTCCCCTCCTCCTCCTCCTCCTCCTCCTCTTTCTCATCAGACGCCGCGGTGCTCGAGGCACCTCTCCGTCGGAGTTGAATTCGCCCAGGACTGTTTGTCCAGGCCTGCGCGGCCGATCTCGCACTGCGGATGCCGTGATCTCGTCGAGGCACCATCCGTGCGCGAGGCACCTGTTGTTGCGATCGTTCTTTAAGAGAACGATCGAAGCACCACTCGCGAGAACGGCCGGCCTTGTCGGCGGCCGACGCACGGGCGACGCACCCATTGTCGCGAAGGGGGGTGGGGGGTCAGCACGCCAGTCGCATGACTGAGTCTTAACAGTTCTTTACACCATTTCCCCAGTCGGCAGCAGGTGATGGTTCTCAGACTTCGCGTCGCGCAGTGCAATTCGCAGGCAGTGGGTTTGAACGACATGGCTCATGAACTTCAGGGGCGCAGAGATTCTTGGGCCCACGGGTGCGAAGTAACAAAGGAGATGGGCAAGTCTTCAGGGCGAGCAAGACGTGGTGGAGGAATTGTCAGGACCAGTCCGAGTCTGGCAGTGACCCACTTCGAGCCGCCAAGATGGCACACACAAAACAGGGACGACAAGTCATGCGCAGTGTACGCCATTCATTCTAAAAGACCGATTTCCTCTTCACATAAGACGTCGAGCCTGGGTTCCCCCACAAAGTCATCCAGAGATGCGGGGATCGGTCCGGGACGGTATTTCCATTCCAAGCATCTGTACTCCCCCACGGAACCAAAGTCGGCGGCATGGAAGCACGAGAGTCTCTTGGGGATCATCTGGTCGGGAAAGATTTTCAGTGAGCTTCCACTGCGATGCGTTCAGGTTTTGAATGGCATTTTCACGCGGGCTACATCAGCGGTGCACGACGGGGGGATAAAAGCCAAAGCTGGAGACGCAGCGGGGTCCTCGGATACGAATCGCACTCAACACCGTCTGGTACCGGTCATCACACACATTCCCATTGTAGTGGCACGTATTTCTCGCATCAGGGGAGTTCTGATCGTATCGATCATTGTGATGCCCTTGATGCTGCTGTGCATCGAGAACGGCAGTGCGAGAGCCTGATGCACTTCGGCTTCAGCTTACAAATGGCGCAGGGCGTTGCACGGAGTGTGGGTCACGTCCCACGGGTGATTGATATGATTCGGGGCATTCTTGGTGACCCCGGCAGAGTGCTGCAGCACAGCGGGCTTAGGTGAGACGCAGACTTGATGAACATTTGTGATAGATATTCCTCCGTATCATGTGGTCATCGCGAATTTGCCAGAAGTGGGCGTTAAGCACCGACAGGGGTGCAGCATTTTATCAGTACTACTTCAGAGAGGGCTTATTGAGGAAGCGTGGCGCACACTAAACGGAGCAGCTGGAGCACGGACAGAGGAAGTTTCTGGATCAGCAGAGCCGCGGAGGAAATGGCCAGGCACAGGGGACTCGAAGGCAGCGAGGGGGAAATAACAACATACACCGACTACGAGCCCGACGTAAACGAGAATCACGACTTGAGCAAACACAATGTAGACGCGATGATAAACAAGCAGAAGCATGTTGCCAACTACACAGTCTCAGTCCTTGGGATTGCTTTTCGCTACAAGCCCGATCGGTCCAGGAGCTAACAGCTGTGCAAGGGGTACAATATTAGCATTTAGTTTGGAAGCTTGCTCGTCGGATCGCCGGTGCTGGGGTGTAGCTATAAGTGGAGGTTCAACGCGCCCACGAAGACCTCCCTCCCCCACGCGCAGTAGCGGATTGGGTGGGATACTTGGGCGGCGAAGGGAGGAAAGGAGAAACGCATCGAGAAATGTAATCTAGAGAACAACCGCGCACGCGCAATCGATACACGACTTCGCCAACATGTCGGTCGTTGTCATCAGCTGGAGTTTACGGATTTTCTTGTGGATAATCGACATCGGGCCAGATGGGAGGGAACGCATCCAACAAGGCGGGGGATGCGGTGCAGGATTTCCCGGTTCTCAAAGAGCGGATCGCATGTGCCAGGGAACGTAGAGTCGTACAGGAGTGGGCGGTGCGTGTAGAAATCTGGAGGCCAGCATTGACGTCTCCAAAATTTTTTGGAGATGATGATTTTGACGTATCGGGTGCTCCAGAGCTTCGGCGTGCTACTCCCAATATGTCGACAGGTATCCGGGATTTCCAACGCACGCCGCAGCTGCGACATCTCACGAGTGGAGCCAGACTGAAGAAGAGCAACCGTAGATCAAAGCCTGCAGGTGAGCGAGTCATGCTCTTGTCGTGCCAGCTTTGTAAGGCGGACGTTGCTGGCTTTTGGCGTCGTCCAGCATTGAGCCGGCCGTTGCTATCTGTTGCGATTGCAGCGCGCCGCTTGCGTGGACAAGCATTGATGCGGGTCTGCATGTTTCAGGATTGGTGTCTGCGGTTTTCTGTCGCGCTTCACTGTTGTATATTTGGCATATTTGCTGGACGAACGCGTTTCGTCGGTTAGCCATGGATCACCATATTGCCGTGTTTCAGATGTGTTTCGGAACCAGGATGCGAGCCTGGCCCAGCAGCCGCATCGGGGGACCAGATGTTGATTGAGCGTGGAAAACAGTGACTGAGTAATGATGGAGGCGCGTTGCGGAGATCTGCAGGGCGATCAGGCAGCGCCAGATAAGTCTACGCGCGTGCATGACAAGCGCGCCGTTGATTAGACGCCGCAGAATATCCGACAATATGGTCACACTGTCTACGTGGTTGGAAAGATTCGCATAGGTGCGGAGGTGGATTTTTCGTGGGTGACATGAGCGGATGATCAACGACTGACATCCCCGCTCGAAGTGCAGGGCGCGGTCGCCGCCGCGATATCGCTCGCCTCGGAGAGGGGCGCGGCGTTCGCGGAGACATTGCCGGCGCCCGCGGGGCGGCGGCAACGCTCGAGGGAAAAATGGCGTCTCCGGGTTTCGCGGTCGAGGGGCGAGGGGGGAGATGGGCAAGATGTTGCCGAAGAAGCGAGGCCTTGCGAAGACGCGCCGGCGCCTTCTGCGCGGCAGATTTGGGGTTGCACCGTGCCGAGCGGCGCATCGGCCTGAAGTTCACGGCTAGGACAGCAGCGGTAATGTTGGGGCGGTCCGTCATTGGGCAGCTGCCGGCGCAATGCGGGCTGGAACTCGGCACGCGCAGGCAGGCGGTCATAGGGGCGGTTCTCAAGGCGCCCTCGGCAGGGCAGGAGGCGCAGACGCGGGCGTTGGCATTCTCGGACCAGGCATCACAGTTGATCGCGAAGCATCGCCGTGTTCCGACCGCGGGCGCGCGCCGTCAAAAACGCGCGGCGAGGGTGGGGGGGCGACGCAGCGCGGGGGCATGGCGTGCGATGACGTCCGCGCTTGGGCCAGGATTCCTCACGTTCACGGAGTCCTTCGAGCCGTTGGCTTCGGCGGGTGTGCGAGATGGGCAGACGTCTTCCAGGTCGCGTCGCGGCGCTCGGCGCTCGCGGGAGGACTAGGGTCGCGCTCGCGGCGCGGCGGGCGAGGTCGTCCGGCGCGCGGGGCGAACCCGCATCTCGGGCATTTCAGCTGCAAGCTGAAGCGTTCGCGGGCCGGGCTCTCGGGCCACGCGCGGCGGCGACGTGCGGAAGGGCGGTTTGCAATATTTCACCAAGATCTCGCGGTCGCCGCCCGCGTCGCCCGCCGGGGCCGACGCTGGAAGCGGCGCGGGGGGGGGGGATTTGCGCGAGCACGGGCGTTTCCAGCGCGCATCTCAGGACCTCCCTCTCTCGCGCTGCGCTCGGCCCCGATGAGGGCCCCGCGCGTCGAGCGCGCGCTCGCGGACTCCGCCGAGGCTGTCTCCGAGATCGGCGCGCATCGTGCGCGCGTTCCTTTGCGGCGAGGGCACGGGCGGGGGGCAGTGGCGTGCGTCGGCGGCGTGTCCCGGGGGAAGATGACGGGCAGATGCAGGAAGCGTGCCCTTGCGCGTGCCCATCAGGAGCATGCTCGATCTGCGATCATGGTGCCTCGCAGTCTCCAGAATTTTCGCCGACGTGCCCGTTGCCGGTTCGAACCAACTCATCCTCTGCAGTTGCCTCGTTGGTGCGTCCCAGAGCCTGTCTCAGATGCGCCGCGAGATGGAAGCGGCGCCGGCGTCGCAGCCGGGCGCCAGCAACAAGGGCAAGGACGGCAGGGCCATCGATGGGCGGGGCAAGCGAGCGCCTGATGTCGGCGACGACCAAACGAGTGACGGGTCTGGACAACATCGCGAGGAGGCACCAGGGCGCGCTGGCGACATGTGCGCTGAGGCCAGAGGACATCAGCTTCAATATCGAGATGCTGAAGGCGTCAATGAGGCACACGACCGGGAGATGCAGCTGTAGACGACAAGTCAGAGGAAGCAGCTCAACAAGGAGGGTTGGGCCAGGGTGACGCAGCTTTGGAGTGCGCCATGTATGGGCATCAGCACCTTCGCGCAGCTCCTGGGCACAAATCGCCCGGTGGCCAGCAACGCGCGAGCGAGGGGGGCGATCTGAGTCTCTCGCGCCCGCGCGCGCATGCTTCGCCGAGATGTGTTGCAGACGCAGTGGCGAAGCAAGAGCTTCCATGGCGGGCCCCAGGTTGCAACCTGTGGTGGACGAGATCGTCGCGATCCTCAGCGCAGTGCCCGAGGTGGACAGGAAGACCGGAGGCCCCGCAGGGGGCCCACACGCGAGGCAGAGCGCAGACCTGCCCGGCGAAGCGGCAGAAGCAGAGAGAGTAGCAGGGATGACGAGCTCCTGGGCGTCGGAGACCTTCCGCCCACCTCCTGTTCTTCGGGGTCGTCCTCTTCTAGGTTCTGAGATCCTTCGACGGCGTCTTGCGCAGTTTGCGGCCAACGTCGAAAGCAGTGGGAGCAATGTAGCGCGCTTAATCGTTTACCCGGCCACCGTAGAAATGTTGTTTGAATGGTGTTTTGGCGGCTGTGCCCAGTTGTAAATCAACCAGTGCCCTTCGAAGGTGTTGCTCCTCGTGGTGGGCCCGCGACCGACCTGTAGTTTTCCCGTTTCCATATCTCTCTCTCTCTCTCTTTCTTTCTCTTTCTCGTTTTTTTGTTTCCCTCTCTCCCTCTATCAACTTCACTCTTTCTCTACATGTCTGTCTCCCGCTCTGTTTCTCCTGTTGGGTGTTGTCCTGGCCTCCTGGGGGTCGGTCGCCTGCTACCTCGGGGCCTGGTGCCTTCTCGAAAACGGGCTGGTGGGAAGGACGGCGGGGCAGACCTCCGACCTCGAACCAAGTTTTGATTTCGGCTTCGCCTCGTGTCGGATCACACCCGCGACAGAGAACGGTGCGTGCTGTTCCACGCCCCCTCGGGGCCCCAGGGCGCGCCCTGACGTTGTTTGTCACGGGTGTGCTAGACATGAACCAGGGCAGTCCCAGCCGGGAAGCCTTGGGCGCGCGACCCCCTGGAGAGGCGGACCTTCTTGGGGCCCCTCCGGCAAGAGGGGCCAAACCCTGGCCCAGGGCCAGCGGCAGGGCGCGCGCTGGGCCTAGATCAGGGGGCGGAGTCGTGTGCGCCAGTGCTCTCGCGTGTGCCCGATCCGCGGACGAAGGGAGGAGGAGGAGGAGGAGGAGGAGGAGGACGAGGACGAGGACAAGGAGGAGGAGGAGGAAGAAGAGGAGGAGGAAGAGGACGAGGAGGAGGAGACCAGTGACCAGTGACCGTCCGCGCGCCGCCGATGCCTTCGAGGGGTGGTGCTTGGTGTCGGACAGGGCGCGGCTGACGGCCAGAGACGGCGTGAACCAGGAGGTTCCGCGCCCTGACGTCGTGGGGACACATCCAGGACACAGGCCCCCACCGCTGGTGCCACCAACACCACCTCGACCTCCTCGTTCTCCGCCTCCGCCTCCTCCTCTCTGCGATCCCTCCTCCGCCCCCTCCTCTCTTCGATCTCCTCGCTTTCTGCCGCGCCCCACCCTTTCTCCGCCATCGTCCCCCCGACCTCTCCCAGCCCCAGTGCGCGCCCTGCCGCTGACCCTGGGCCAGGGTTTGGCCCCTCTTGCCGGGGTGGCGGCAAAAAGGTCCCCCTCCAGGGGGTCGCGCGCGCCCAGGGCCTCTGGATTGGGACTGTCCTGGACCTCATTGAACTGTCTCCCGGCTTTCCCTGCGTGCGTCAGATCTTTCTCGCATGTGTCTTGCCTGGCACACGCGTGCGGTGGGGGGCGTTCGGAGGCTCCAGACCCCGGAGGGTTCCTCATCTGACGAGGGCGGCGGTTAACATACAGTCGACCCAGATTAGTAGGTCGACCCTGCCAAGTCAAGGATATTCTTGTGTCCTGTGTCTCGCGACCCATGTTTCCTACATTCCTGTGGCAATGTGGCCCTCGGAAGGGCCTTGTGTCCTCTCGCGTGTCCTGTCCAATCGAGTCCGACTGTAGTCACGGCCATTACACGATTGGAGTTCCACTTGCTTCCAGACCCTGGATTCCTCATCCACAGATTCCTTTCAAGAGGGGAAAAACACACAGACACCATTACTCGTCGATTCCCTAGAAGATATTGAAAAACATGGGCTGTGGGGGGAAGACGAAAACCCCGAAAACATTGGAACATATGGGGGATACTTTTATTTGTGTGTCTGTATTTGTGTGTCCTTGGGCCCCTTGATCCCATCCAATGCCCTCGCCGTGTAACATCTTCACGGTCTGGCCGCGCTCCGCCGACCGCAGTCTCCTCCCCCCCCTCGCGCCCCTGATGCCTTCCCCTTTGTGCCCAGCTCGGCTCCGATGCGTCCCTCGGCCGTCTTTGCCGCCTCGTGGACTCTCAGGAGGGGGAAATACATACAGACACAATTAATCGTCGATCCCCAGGAAAGTATGGGATATGGGAAGTGGGGGGGAAGACAAGAAACCAGAAAATATGGGAACATGTGGGGAATCCTGTTATGTGTGTGTACTTATTTGTGTGTCCCAGGGCCCCCTCAGTTGCCTCCCCCCCTCGCGCCCTTGATGTCTTCCCCTTGTGCCCAGTTCGGCTCCGATGCGTCCCTCGGCTGCCTCTGCCGCCTCCTGGACTCGAGCTGCCGCCGACGGGCAGCGCTCGTGCGTCGGATCCTCCTCGCTCTCCGCCTCCCCCGCCGCCTCCCGCGAAGCGAGCAACCTCTGGCAGGCATCGTGTGCTTCACCCTGGAGCAGAAGTGGTGCGCCGTCCCCGCCGCGATATCCGCACGGGGGGGGCGGGGCCGCTCCGCTGCTGCCTCGAGGAGGGCGGAGAGGTGAGGAGGTAAGTCGGGCCTGTCCCTCTGCAGGAGGAATATTCAAAAACAGTCAGAAAACAGTCAGAAAATAGTATGGTTGTTTTCCCCATATCCTGAGATGGGGTTCTTGTTATTACTTGGACGCCTCCTACTCCTCCTCCTTCTTCCTCCTCCTCTTTTCTCCTCCCCTCCTGTCGGACATACTCAGACTTGCTCATACACAGACTTACTCATACTCAGGCTTACTCATACTCATACCTACTCATACTCAGACTTACTCACACTCAGACATACTCATATACAGATTTACTCATACACAGACTTACTCATACACAGTATTAGTCATACCCAGACGTACACATACACAGACTTACGCATACACAGACTTACTCATACTCAGCACCCCTAAGGGGAGCCGCCAGGGGTGGTTGCACGGGCTCGTTCGCTGCCATTTTGTGGGGATGTCTCAGGCGGTTTGCCTGTTTCTGTGCCCAACATCCTTCGCTTTCGGAGCAGATTTGGAGGATGTCTCGAGCGAGGCGCTCATTTCAGCACCCCTAAGGGGAGCCGCCAGGGGTGGTTGCACGGGCTCGTTCGCGGCCATTTTGTGGGGATGTCTCAGGCGGTTTGCCTGTTTCTGTGCCCAACATCCTTCGCTTTCGGAGCAGATTTGGAGGATGTCTCGAGCGAGGCGCTCATTTCAGCACCCCTAAGGGGAGCCGCCAGGGGTGGTTGCACGGGCTCGTTCGCGGCCATTTTGTGGGGATGTCTCAGGCGGTTTGCCTGTTTCTGTGCCCAACATCCTTCGCTTTCGGAGCAGATTTGGAGGATGTCTCGAGCGAGGCGCTCATTTCAGCACCCCTAAGGGGAGCCGCCAGGGGTGGTTGCACGGGCTCGTTCGCGGCCATTTTGTGGGGATGTCTCAGGCGGTTTGCTTGTTTCTGTGCCCAACATCCTTCGCTTTCGGAGCAGATTTGGAGGATGTCTCGAGCGAGGCGCTCATTTTCACCCCCCAGGTGGGCCAGATTTTGAGGATGTCTCGATCGGTTTGTTAGTTTTGGTGGCCAGGCTCGTGGGCGCAGATTCTTCTCAGGATGCCACAGGAGGCTCCAACAGGCTCCAGGAGGCTCCAGGAGACCACATGAGGTCCCAGGAGGCATCAGGAGGCCACAGAAAGACTCAAGAGGCCACAGGATGTCCCAAGAGGCTCCAGGAGGCCCCAGGAAGCTCCAGAAGGCCTCAGGAAACCACAGGAGACCCCAGGAGACAACAGGAAGCGCCAGGAGGCCTCGGAAGGCAACAGGAGGCCCCGAGAGGCCCCAGGAGCAGGAGGCCTCAGAAGGCAACAGGAGTGGCTCCAATCCCATGTGTTTTACGTATGCTCCTATCGATTGGGCCTCACCTGGAGCACGATTCTTTGATGTTCTACGTATGTTTCTATAGATGGTCCTTCTCCTGTGTACACAATCCTAAATGTTTTACTCATGTTCCTATGTATTGGGCCTCTCCTGGGGCACGAGTCCTTGGTGTTTTACGCGTGTTCCTATAGATTGCCCTTCTCCTGTGGCTCTAATCCGCAATGTTTTATGTACGTCTGTTGCTATAGATTGCGCCTCCCCTGGGGCACGAAACCTTCCTAGGAGGTCCCAGGAGGTCCCAAGAGGCTCCTGGAGACCCCAGGAAGCCCCAGTAGGTTTCAGGAGGCCCCAGGAGGCCCCAGGCTCATGCACAGAGACGCGCTCGTACTACTGAGGCTCATTCACACTCCAATTCATTCGCAGTTAGATTGATGTCCAGACCGTCACAACTGAAGCCCGTTAATATTCGAAAGCTCTTGCGCCTAGACATTCACGGCGGACAGGTCCATGCGAGTAGATGCACATATGGGGAGCTCCACGCAGTGACTAATTTGTTTTACTCTTTTTTATTTTTCGTCCAAAATCCCCCTGTAGGGGGACAGGCCCGACTTCAGTGCGGAGGGGGACAAAGGAAGGGCCCCGGAGGGAGGGGAGACTCCCAGGACGAGGGGAGGGCCCCAGAGCGAGTACGCAGCGGAGGAGGAGGGATGGGGCGAGAGAAGAGCGAGGCCGATGGAAAGGAGGGGAGAGGGAGAGGCCGTGGAGGATGAGAAGGAAAAGGGCGATAGGGGGAGGAGGAGGAGGAGGAGGAGGAGGAGGAGGAGGAGGAGGAGGAGGAGGAGGAGGAGGAGGAGGAGGAGGATCCTCCTCTCTTCCGGGGGAGGCTGAGAGCGTTCATCACAAGGCTTCTGCAGGCACACTGATCCCAGATTCAAGCGGATAAGGCGTTCCTATCGCCATCGGGCTCACAAGGGTCCATGACTACCCGACCGATCCGATGCGATACCCATATCGGCCGACTCGATCGGTTTCGATTTCGATATCCCGACGTTCCGATGTTGCTGTGCATCTTGGCGTGGCCGATTCGATTCGATTCCGACTCCATGCCGATACAGTCCGATCCGACTTGCGTTTCAGTCTGTTTCCGACTCGCGTTTCAGTATGTTTCAATCTATCGATTCGATGTTGACCGATCGTGTCGTCCCCCCTGTCCCATCCCCGTCCCGTGGGGCCAACGTGTACTGCAGTGGCGTTGTTCCACTGCGCAAGCCTGCGCGCACATCGGGGTCTCATGTCGATCGAATTGCGGCTTGAGCGGCCACCTCGTGCTCGACTGGCATGTGCACGAAGAGGAGGAGGGAGTGGGCGGGGAACGACGGGAAGACGGAGACCCATTCCCGCCCTCCACTGGCCAGTCGCCCCCCTCCCACGTTCTGTTTATTGCGAAGGCCTTACGGCCGGTGCCGCCGACCCTGAAGGGGGACGTCGACGACGGCGGCGGTGGCGGTGGCGACGACGACGACGCTGACGTGGGCCCGAGTCCTCAGGGATGCTTCTCGGGGTCTCTTGGGGAGGCTCTCCGGGGCCTCTGGGGAGGAATTTTGGGGTCTCTTGGGAGCCTCTTGGGGGCCTCCTCGGGGCCTTCTCGGGTGTCCTGGGGGCCTATTCTGGGATTCTTGGGGCCTCTTGGGAACCTCTTGGGGCCTCCTGGGAGCTTCTCGGGGCCGAGGGCCCGAAATGTCCGTTCGGTTTCCCCTATCAAGGCACGCTCTTGGAGCGTGTCGGGGGCCTCTTGGGCCGTCTTGGAGGCGTTGTGGACTAAAGCGAGCTGAGGGACGTAAGGAGTGGAAGCGAGCGTGCGCCCGCGGCCGCGTCGGCTCAAGCGGCCGGCCGCTCAAATATGACTGCGCCTCACTGCGAGGCACACAATCGCTATCGAGACCAAAAGGGTATTCCTGCTGCTTGAGATGTCACATGCTCTCCTACTGGGACTATCGCTACTACGGCACAACAGAGCTGGAGCTTGGCTTCGCTTAAGGCGAAGCTGATGGCTGGGCCTCCCAGCCCCCTTTCAAACTTGGTAGCGGAGCTGGCCTATGGTGGTCAGCTCTTGCTTTGCTCCTCACCATCCACGGCACTATCTGGTGGACTACGAACATGGCAGGACATCACGGTGCAGTGGGTTTGCGCGGAGGAATGTACATAACTACGCAGTACCGCAAGGACACTTGCAGCGATACCTCTGTCCAAGCGGAGGTCTCTTACCTACATGCTACCTCCCTGCGCTACTACACTCCTGAAGTCCCCCCACCTACTCCACTGGAAAATATTTCGAAGATATAATGCATGGAACATGCGATACGAAATATTGCCGCCTCCGACCCCGCGCAGACTTACGACTAAACAACAGAAGTCCCAACCGACTACATCCGACTACGGCCTACGAGGCCATTGGATTGGTGTTACTATCTTTGGGCTTACATGGGCCGCTATCGGGTGTGCGGTAGGACATATGCGTGGCGGAGACGACACGAGAACGACCGGCCCCCATTGGGACCCAGCCTGTCAAGTATGTTTTCGCGAATTCGTCCGCGAAGTACATGGCTTGGATCAATGTGACCACTGGCAATATGACGCCCTCCCAGCAGGCTGCAGCTCTGCAGCGAGGTTTGGGAGGCCCCGCACAGACCATAGACATGATAGTCCCTCCAGCAGTTATTAATTTTGGCGTCAACATAAGTCGCCGCCACACCGACGGCGTCACCTACACTATGTTCCTCTTAAGCACGAAGTTCGAGAACTCAGAAGAGGAACGCCATCTCAACTTTGGTACGGCTCTCAGTGATTTCCGAGTCCATGTGGGTGAACGTATCGACCAGACGTTAGCACGTTTGGAGATAGCCCGCTACGAAGCTGAAACAGCCGGCTGGCTTCAACACCCCCATCTTCCAAATCCTAACAGCGATTCTATTCAGAGCCCTTGGAGTGGGGACATCGCGTGCACAACAATTCCTGCAGCCTCTGAGCCACGACCAACAATTTGACGCTGTATTTGAGCGAATGAGGTCGTATGCTCACACTGCGGAGAGAAACCCCGGCAATATTGGTGGCATTTTTAGTCACGGTCACCGAGCCGAGACTTCCCACGTGGATGCCAACGCAGGGCAACCTGTCAACAGCCTCTTGAATGATGATCCACAACCAACTGAGACCACTGCACTGCTGGCTCAGAAGGGTGGAGCGGCCTCGGGGTCGCAAGCCTCCTGGGCCAGACCCAGGGGACCGCCCGACGCGGTCTCCCCCATAAAAGCCATGACCCTAATGGGTTCAGCGGGACAACCCTCCGAGTCCGACCTCGACTCCGGTACTGATACGGATACGTCTTCAGATGACGAAGCTACCGCCCTGGATTATTCTGATATGCCTACATACCTTACTGAAGAGCAACAAGCTCGATGGTTATTTTTAGGCAATCAAAAACACAAGCGTCGCTGGCGGAGGTTCATGAAGAAATCAGTCCGAAAGGTAAGGCGTATCGTACGACGATCACTTAAAGGAAAAGGCAAAGGTCGAAGTAAAGGGAAAGGTAAGCGTCGGCGATTGCAAGGCAGAGTCACACTAGCATTCTTAGCGCCTCCTACTGGGCCTCAGTATGAAGAAATTTTAGGTGCTGGCAGAAACCGCAGGCATACATCAGGCCAAGGTAAGGGACGGCGGGGAAACCCACACGATGCCAACGGTAAAACTATGGAGTGCGACATATGCCACAGCACACAACATTTCCGACGCGAGTGCCCCCAAGGTGACGGAAGAGGCAGGGGTCCGTCAATACATTTGGCCCAAACAGACTCCGACATGCAGTATGTTGATTGGGAGTCAGTTTTAGCTGACCCCGCCGATAGCTCAGCCACAATTGTTAATTTCATGGCTGCCAGATATCTAAGCGGCGCGGCGCGGGCCGCGATGCAAGCGCTGGAGGCCGAGGCGGCGCAGGCCGCACGGAGCGGTTGGGCAGAGGAGGGGAAGAGGCCGTGCCTCCGAGCCCGCCGGACGCCGCAGCCGCGGGCCGGCGCCGGAGGCCCCCCGGGCGGCCCCGCACCTTTGCGCCCGCGCGTGATGGGCGTGTTTTCCACCACCACCGCCATAAATTGGAGGGGGAGGGGATCCTTCTTCTCCTTCTCCTCCTCCTCCTCCTCCTCCCCCTCCTCCCCCTCCTCCCCCTCCTTCTCCTCGTCCTCCTCGTCCTCCACCTCCTCCCCCCCTCCAACTTATGGTGGTGGTGGTGGTGGTGGCAAACAGGCCCCTCTGCGCGGCCCCCCAGTCAAGCAGCGGCGAAGCGTCCTGGCTCGCCTACAGCCCCACAAAACAATGTTCTAAGAACCCTTTGTGGTTTGCACGAGATGTTCTTAGAACGTTTATGGTTGAGAGGGGTTACTGTTCTAAGAACATCGTTGGTGTTCTCAGAACATTTCTGGGTTCTAAGATCAGTTCGTGGTAGGACTATAGGAATGCCGGGACGGTCGGCCCCTGCTCAACGCACCCGCGCGGCCCGCGTTTGTGCGCGAGACTTCCGCGCGGCCGCCTGCGCATGCTGTGACCAACCCGCGCCGACACCGACACCCAGGACGTTTCTTCCTTCCTCCTCCCCATCTCCTCCTAACTTTTTATACGTTTCGCACTGCATGATCCAGACACTTCAGATCCTAGAGGCCATGGCCTCACCCACCTGATCTGCTCTAGGCCCGGACGCTGTCAGCAACGGTGGTCGCATCGCATCGCGTCGCATCGCCCGCGCATTCTGTGACGGGCCAGGGCGTGGTGCACAAGGGCTTTGCTGCGTGGCACATAGCTGGCACGGTGGGCTCGAGAGCAACCCCAGCTTTCGAGGGGGTATCCTTCTGCTCTTCGCGCTTGGTTTCTCCAGTGCGGACAGCGTTTAGTCTTGGGCACCTTCGTGCGGCCCTTGGCCTTCGGCGAGGGGTCTCATGTTGTGGACCCGCGTTACTGTGGCCACGCTTTGGCTGCCCATGCCCACTCGCGCTAGCATTAAGTCGGGCCTGTCCCTCTACAGGGGGGATATTCAAAAATGGTCAAGCAATATTTTGGGTATTATTTTTTGAGTATGTGTTTGACCATTTGGGGGTATTTTTTATTTTTCGTCGACAATCCCCCTATAGGTGGACACGCCCGACTTAACACTCGCACTTTGCCCGTAACCCATCGCTCCATCCGTGCTTGGCATCTCCCGAGCGTGCTCGCCGCCCGCGAGCCCAGCTTGCCGTCACCGTCTTTCCTGCTTTGTGGTTCTCATGCTCTCGCCGCTCGGCTAGCCTGCCGTGCATGGTCGCGCGTGCCCGCTGAAGCAGCAGCTTTGTCCTTCTTCGTGTTGACTGTGCACGGTGGTCGTGCACGCGGTCTCCACGACAGCGGGTTCCAGCGTTCCTGCCGCTTCTCTCACTGGGTCACGTCTGTCGTTCGGTTGCATGTGTGGTTGCGTCTTTTGCCTGCGTGGCGTTGTTATGTTGCGCTGCGCAGAATTGCGCTGCGCTGTTCGTGGTGTGGCTTTGTTTGGCGTTTCTTACTTACTTGCAGTCCATGTTGCGCGAGCGCCCGCTTCATTAGTCGCATGCATGTTCCTACGCTGTGAGTGCTTTCGTCATGGCGTGTATCGTAAGTACTTTTGTGTTACGTGTGCGTGCACACACCGCGTCTGATGAGTATTTGCTTGATTTCCCTGAGGTACCACGGAATGAGCCCAATTGCCAAGGTGGCTGCCCTGCACATGCGCTATCTCTTTTCTCACCACGTTGTGCGCCACTGGGCTGCGAAAGGGGAAGAAGAGGAAGATAAGTCGCCTACCCTGCATCATTACGTGCCTTGTTGTTGTCCACCAGCGCAACGTGCACGATATTCCATTCTTGCCAGGTTGGCTCGTCTACGGAATGCCCCGGAGAGGAGGGAGGATAAGGAAGGGAACATGGAGGCTGAAGAGCGGGAGGGATGTTTGGGAAAGTTCTTAGCGTTTCAGAAGTGGAAAGACAATTCTAGACGCTTCGCGTATCCCCACCAGCCCATCCAGAAACGATGTCCAGGCGAGTTCAGGTGATCAGGGAAGTGCGGTAGCAAAGAGGGGGACGGCCGAACCGTGCAAAGGAGGGAGGAGGAGAAGGAGGAGGCTGGATGGATGGATGGATGAGGGAGTAGGGAGAAGGAGGAATAATCGGATGAGGAGGAGGAGCAGCAGGATGAGCAGGAGGAGGAGGAAGAGAAGGAGTAGGAGGAGGTAGGAGGAGGAGGAGGAGGAGGAGGAGGAGGAGGAGGGCAAGCAAAAGGGACAGAGGTATCTTGGATGCCTCTCGTAGCCTCTTGGGGTATCTCTTGGGGTATCTCTTGGGCGCTTATTGGTGGCCTCTTGGGACGTCTTTTGAGTCTCCTGGGGGGCTCTAGGGCGTCTTGGGGGCCTTGGGGGGTCTCTTGGGGCCGCTTGGGGTTCTTTTGGGGGCCTCCTGGGGGCCTCTTGGGGGCCTCTTTGGGCCATCTTGGGACCTATTGGGGCCTCCTTGGCGCCTCTTGGGGCCATCTTGGATGAGATCGATCAAAGAAGAGGGGAGGTGTTTTTAGCGTCGCCCCCCCAAGAGGCCAACATGGGACCAAACCCTAGTAAAACTCATGAGGTTGGCTTCCTCGCCGAGGCCGTTTTGGACGCCCTGACTGCTCGCGACCGGCCCCGTCCAGGTCCAGGGGAGGGGGTAGGGGCGAGGGGTAAACCTCTCCCCGAAGGAGAAGAAGCGATGTGGAAGAGGAAGTTCCCTAATCCACCTACGCCCAGAGGGCTGGTGGGATTCCTTTTGCGAGTTCCATCGGCGGAGTGATTTTCGTCTGCCTGGAGTGCGGGCGACGTTGCGCAAGTCAAATCTATTCCATATGAAATAATGGTGCGCCCGAGGCACAGTTTAATCCATGCGTCTGTTGCAAAACATGCCTCTGCGGGAATTCACTTGGGGGCGTGCTGGCTTGTGTTGATTGATTATCCAGCTGCTTGCTGCGACTCCCGCCACCGTGCCAGCCCAGCATTCTGGGTGGCGACTGTTCGAGGGGGCACGGGAGGCCGTCTCGCGTGACAGTTCGTGCCTCCAGGCTTGGGAGAGCCGTGATAATGATGATGTGTTTTGTGAGGATGATGGGGATGGGGATTTGGATGACGATACTGATGACGATGATGACGATGATGACGATGATGATACTGATGATGATGATGGTGATGATGGTGATGATGGTGGTAATGATGGTGATTAGGCTGATGGTGATGCTGCTGGTGCTGCTGACGATGCTGATGACGATTGTTATGATCATGGCGATGATGATGCTGATTATTATCAGTAGTATCATTGTGAATATGATGCTGATTATGATGATGCTGTTGATGCTGATGCTGATGATGATGATGATGATGGCGGTGGTGGTGATGATGACGATGATGATGTTGCCGACGACGATGGTGATGATGATGCTGATGATAATGATGATGATTTTGGTTGTTACTATGATGCTGCTGATGATGCTGGTGATGCTGCGGATGATGATGAGGATGAGGATGATGATGATCATGATTATGCTTATGACGACGATGCTGATCACGATGATGATGATGATGATGATGATGATGATGATGATGATGATCATGCTGATGATGCTGATGTCGATGATGAGGATCATGATCATGCTGATCATGACGATGCGGATGTTGATTGTGATGATGATGATGCTGATGTTGATGAGTCTGATGCAGATGATGATGATGATGAGGATGATGATGATGATGATGATGATGATGATGATCATGCTGATGATCATGATTATGCTTATGATGACGATGCTGATCACGATGATGATGATGATCATGCTGATGATGATGATGATGTCGATGATGATGATCATGATCATGCTGATCATGACGATGCGGATGTTGATTATGATGATGATGATGTTGATGTTGATGATGATGTGCATGCTGATGCTGCTGACGATGATGGTGATGATGATGATGATGATGATGATGCTGATCATGATCATGATGATGCTGATGATGATGATGATGATGATGATGATGATGATGATGATGATGATGATGATGGTGACGAAACTCGTTCGGGCCGTCTTGTGGTTGTCTTGGCATCTTGTGAGTCAGTCTTGGAGGTACCTTGGGGCCCTCTTGGGCCGTCTTGGGGCCTTCTTACGCCGGTTTGGGATTCTCCTGGGCCGTCTTTGGGGCCCTCTTGGCCTTATGGTGGGTGTCTGGAGGCCGTCGTGAGGCCATCTTGGCGCCGCCTTGGGGCGTCCAAGGGCCTTCTGAAGCCGTCTTGGGTCCCACATGAGGCCCCCGTGGGTCTTTTTGGTGCTGTCTGTCTTGCCTCTTGGGCCATCGTGGAGTCCTCGTGGGCCGTCTTGAGTTGACGGCAGCCCGAAAAGGCGAGAATGCGACAAGCATTCAAACACCTGAGGGAGATCAATGATTGGGGTGTCTTCGGACCTTGTTGGAGGTCCTTTTGTAATTAGGCTTGTTGGGCCCTCTTGGAGGCATCTCTGGCCGTCATGAATCACTATTCGGCCGCCTTGGGGCCATCTTGGGCCGTCTTCGAGGTATCTTGAGCCATCTTGGTGTTTGTTTCGAAAGCTCGGGACGAATACCCACCGTTTTCAACAAGGCATCGTGGCCTGGGAGGTTCTGGAACGCTTGGGAGCAGTGCCTGGGAATGCGGGGCGTGCACGAGCCTCGAGCAGGCAGGCGCGCGTCGGTTTGAGGGGTCTAGGAGAAGGTAGCCAGGCGGGAGGTGCGCAATCCTCGAGCGGGCGCGCATGGAACGAGGGCTCGGGCAGGAGCTGCCGTGCGGGAAGTGCACCGTCCTCGAGCGGGCATGCGTGGAAGGGGGGGGTCAGACAGACATCATCGGAAGCTGGAACGTATGCATTACCGGTGGCGGGCTGTTTCTTGAATCCCAGTGCTTCTTGAGGGTCGGGGACGACGCTGGGGTGGTGTGGTGTATACTCTTTTTTCCCCGATGTCCCGGGAAAACAAAGAAACATTTATACACCAGGATCCCGTATACACCAGAATCCGCGTTCCTTAGCGAATTTCAGCGCAGGGTCTAGAAAAAGCGTCGGTGTATAGAGTTCGTTTCCTTACATCAGCTGCCGTGATGGACGTGCAACGCCCTCGAGCGGGCACGGGCGAAGTGGCTTCGGAGAGGAGGGGCGCATCGTGCGGCAGTCTGCGGGCAGACGGGCAGGGTGGGAGAGGCCCTCTACCAGAATTTTGAAGAGATCCCACCAGACAGACCTTGGCACTCTGCCACGCTCAACTTGAGCCAGGGTGGCACGGTGGCGGATCTCTTCTTGCGAGGTTCCTCTGGGTAACTCGTGGATTGAAGCGGGCGTGGCGTGGCGTCCGTTTGGCGGCGTCTTCCTGCTCTGTAGACCTCCTCGGTTGCTGGCCAGGGGTCGGCGTGTTCATTGCCTCGTGACGTGGAGTGTTGGTCCGATGGTTTGTCGTCCTTCCGCATGCGTTGATGGCATCCATTGCAGCAGGGGTCGTAGACAAGCTGGGTTTCGGTGAATCACATGAAGTTGTCGTCCTTCGATTTGATATTGCCTGTTGCCGGCGTTGCAAATGTATGTTTTATCCAGCTGCTTGTGGCAAACGCCGCCGCCGTGCCTGTGCAGCAGCGTAGAAGAACGGAGTCTCAATTCTTAACCTTGCGAATCCCCACCAGCCCACCCATGAACGATGCCCAGGGAAGCTGCCTCATCGGGGAAGCGTGGCATCATTTGGCGAGGTCGGGGAGCTTCCGTAGGCGAGAGGAGTCTCTTGGGATGTTTGTCGGGGGCCTCATGGAGGCCTTCAGGGGACGTCTTGGCGACCTCTTGGAGGTCTTCAGAGCCTCTGCGGGCGTTTAGAGCCTCTTCGGGCGTCCTGGGTGCCTGTTGGAGGCCCCTTGGAGCCCGCTTGTGGTGTGGGCACCTTGGAGCCCGCTTGTGGGACCTCTTGGGGGCCTCGTGGGGCCTCTTGGGCGCCCCTCGGGGAGGGGGCTGCTTCAACGCCCCGTCTGGGGGACTTTTGCGCCCCTCCTCAGCTAGGGGGGCCGTTCTCGGCCCCTTCCCCCATCAGTGCTTGCACCTGCGGTCGGGGGTGGAAAGACCTCCCACCCTGACACGTCGGTGAGCGAATTGGCCGTTTTCGGTTCGCGAGAGGGCGGCGCGGCCGTCATTTTGGCGGGTCCAGGTCCGTCGGTTTCGGTCCCAGGCCGTTTTCATGAAGGGGAGGTTTACTGAAGGGAGGTTTGCCCACCGCCGATACGGAGCTCTTACTTGCCTTTGAGGAGCTGTGCCCGTTTGCCGCCCTGGCGGCCCCGTTCCCGTCCGTCGCCGCACCACGTTTCCCAGTGAACGGCCAGTTTGCCGCTCGCAATCGCATTGCAATCGCATTGCATTGCAAGCCATCGCATTGTAATCGCGTTGCATTGCTTTGCAATCGCATTGCATGGCAATTGTATTGCATTGTTTGGAAACAGCATGGGATTGCATTGCTTTGTATTGCGCTGCATTGCTTTGCAGTGTGGTTCACTGTTTTGCATGGCTTTTAAATTGCATTGCATTGGTTTGCGTTGCGTTGCATTGCTTTGTATTGTGGCATCGCATTGCATCGTTGCGCATCGCTTTACATTGCACGTTGCAGTGCTTTGCAATTGCTTTGCAATTGCGTTGTATCGCGTTGCATTGTTGTGCATGGCTTTGCGTGGCTTCGCACTGCGTTGCATTGCTTTGCTGTGCGTTCCACAACATAGACTGCACCGCACGGCGTGCACCACATGGATTGCGCACTGCACCGCATAGATGACAATACAGTATGTTGGGGGGGTTCACGCTTGCGCATATCTGACCTCCTATAAAACATAGCCCACCATCGTCGTTGCAGAGCGTGGGCGTGTTCTAGGAGGACGCGCGCTGGTATGGGGAGGGTGTCGGCCCTGGAACACCCGTAGCAAACCTCACCAAACAGCAGGAGAACAGGTTATCACGCTTACCCTGTGCAGGCACAGTGGCGGATAATATTTAGCATTCCACGAGCACGTGTTTTTGCACCTACATGTTGTGTATGTTCCGCCGTCGCGCTCATGAACCCCGCGACCGCTTGTTGGCATTCGAAGAGATTTCCGCATCGCTGCGTCCTATTTGTGCTGCTCAGTTTCGGGCATTGGGGTTAATCTGAGTGTAGGGTTTGCCACTGTCCCAGAGGAGGGGAACAGTCTTGCAGATTCACCTCGTTCTTACCCCTACCCCTTCCAGGAATGAGGAAGACAATCAGAAGGGGGTGGAGGATGACGGAGGTGGATCTATATCATTGTCGATTCGCGGGGCCCCGCTCTAAACACGTCAGCTGCTGATTTGGGGCGCTCGTTATCTGCCGTGTCGCCTCCGTCCTCCAATTGATCACCGTCCGCGCCGCACGCCCATCCCAGCGTGTCAGGTGCCGCTGTACATGGTGCTAGGCACCTCGGTGGCGTTCGCGCTCACCTTCTCAGTGGCCCCGCACCCGATTCGGGGAGAAGGAGGAGGAGGAGGAGGGGGAGGATGAGGAGGGAGAGCTTGAGGAAGGCATATAGCGGTATTCGAGGGGGTTCGATGAAGGTAAGTGAGGGAATGGATGTGGACGAGGGGGCGGAGGCAGAAGAGGGGGGGGGTTAGAGGAGAAGGGAACAATAGTGTTCGCAACAGCTACAGGAAGACTCCGTGCATACGAGCAGCGGGACAATATGCAACGTCGGGGCTACTTGCAATTATGTTCACGGACGCACGTGGCGCACAGATTTGGGCGATTCATCAACGGCTTGCGATTGGAAACGATGATGCACTGACTTCGTGAAGACCATGTTCGGACAACGGATGTTCCAGGCGCCTTGTCTAAAGTTTTGGCCAGAGATTGTTGAAGGGGGCCGAATGCTGGCGGCACGGGCTCGCACCTCATATCGACCGTCGGACATTGAAGGATACATTGCCGGCAGTTGCCTGCACTGCCCGTGCTACAGCATGGGCACGTGGTGGCGGTCGCAGACGAGAATGTGCCGTGGGTTGCCAACCGCTTCATGGAGTTGTTTGCGACACGCGCCATCGCACGCTTAGATTATACTGTTTTTCTTTCGGCGCGGTGTTTAAGGTTTGCGTGTTGTGGTGCAGCCTTGATGGCCCACGCCTCACAGTTTGAACGGCCCAGCCCCATTCTTCGACAGAAGTCATCACGGTTTAGCTTGCTACATGTTCACGCTGTGCGAAGCAATGTTATTAGCGAGGCAATGTTGCAGAGTTCTTCGAATCGGGTAGTGCTTTCTGACGGAGGAGGTCGATCCGATTTCGTTGCCGGCGTATGGTCGCCAGGAGCCCTCTTTTCTGCAAGCCTTGTCTTCCAGCCGTTTTTGGTTGCACGTGAACGTGTGGATCCGCTGGCGCAGCGCTGTGCTCTAACAGGCCGTGGTCCAGGAGCTGCGATCGTGGATCACCGCCTGGGCATTCCGTCTTGTCAGCATCCTCTCATAAGTCGTTTCGGCCATTCTGCTTGCCAGTGTTGCATCACTGTTGCTATATGTTGGTGTGCTCGTGGCGAGCCAGGAGGAGGAGGAGGAGGAGGAGGAGGAGGTGGAGGATGAGGCGTCTTGATTGCTTTTTGGGGCACTCGGAGCCAGACGAGGTCGTGGACAAGACGCCTCGAGGCTTCTTGGTGCCTCTCGGGAGGCGTCTCGGAGCACTCTTGGCAGCATTGTTGAGACGTCTTGTCCTCTTGGGGCAGTCTCTCATGCATCTGGGGGCCTCTGGGGAGCCTCTTGGGAGCCCGCTGACGGTCTCGGGGGCTACGTCTCGGGGAAGGCTCGGCATGTCAGTTCGGATTCCCCCTCACGGGCCCACTTGGGGGCCTCTGGAGCCCTCTTGGAAGGCCCCTTGTGCCGTCTTGGGGCCCTCTTGGGCCGTCCGTGACGGAGGGGGGGGCTTCGAATTCCCCCCCCCCCTTCCCTTACTTCTCCTATCTCCCTGTCCTCGGGCCGGCACCGGCGTTGGCGGCGGCTGGCGGCGGCGGCGGGGGTGCTGGTGGTGGTCGTAGTGGCGGTGGTGGTGGTGGTGAGGTGGTGTGTGGTGGTTGTGGTGGTGGTGGTGGGTTGTGCTGCTGCTAGTAGTGGTGGTGGTTGTGGCGGTGGTGGTGGTGGTGTGGTCGATTGTGGTGATGGTGGTGGTAGTGGTGGTGGGTTGTTGTATTGGTGGTGGTGGTGGTGGTGGTGGTGAGCTGTTGTGGTGGTGGTGGTGGTGGCTGTGGTAGTGGTGGTTGTGTGGTGGTTTGGTGGTGGTGGTGGTGGTGGTGTGTTGAGTTGGTGATGGTGGTGGTCGTGGTGGTTGCGGTGGTGGTGGTGGTGGTGGCGTGGTGGTTTGTGGTGGTGGTGGTGGGCTGTGGTGTTGGTGGTGGTGCTGCTGCTGCTGGTAGTGGTGCTGGTGGTGGTGGTGGGTGGTGGGTGGTGGTGGTGGTGGTGATTGTGGTGGTGGTGTGGTGGTTTGTGGTGGTGGTGTTGGTGGTGTTGGTGGTGGGTTGTGGTGATGGTAGTGGTTGTGGCGGTGGTGGTGATGGTGGTGGTAATGATTTGGTGGTTTGTGGTGGTGGTGGTGTTGGTTGTGGTGGGTTGTGGTGAGTTGTGGTGGTGCGTGCTAATGGTGGTTGCGTTTTTGGTGTGGTGCCGGTGAGGTGGCTTGTGGTGATGGTGGTGGTTGTGGTGATGGTGGGTGGTGGTTGTGGTGGTGGTTGTGGTGGTGGCGGTGGGTGGGTGGTATGGTGGTCTGTGGTGGCGGTGGTGGTGGTGGTGGTGGTGTGGCCTTCGGCTCTTCCCGCCACTGCGTTTTCTGGCAAAGGGTCAGAGTTCTAATGGATGCCTCTTGAGGTCTCGTCAGAAGGGTCTCGGGGGCGTCTGAGGAGCATGCGAGGGCTCGATATGGCGATTCGTGTGTTCCCTCTGCGGCCTCTGGGCCCTCTCTGGTCATCTTCGCTGCGTCCCCGCCGTCGGCGCTGCTGGCCGCCGCCAGCGCCGGCGCCGGCGCCGGCGCGGGGGGGGGGGTTGAACCCCCCCTCCTGGTCTCTTTGGTCATCGTCGCTGCGTTGGCGCTACGGCGGCCGCCAGCGCCGGAACCGGCGCCAGGGGTGGGGGGTTAGAACCCCCCCCCCTTGGGAGGGGGGGTGGTTCGGGAAGGGGTTAGGGGGAAGGGAGTCCGCCTTGTTCTGATCGACGGCGACGGGTGTTGGGAGGGGAGCGCCCCCCCCGGTTCGAAACGCGCCGCCAAATGTTCCCAAGGCAAACGCCCGTGAAACGCGCTCTCTCCTCGGTCTCGTGCGTGTGTGGTTCGGGCCCTCCGGGGCTGTGTTGGAGGCCGTCTTGAGCCGATGGACGCCGGAAAAAACAAAACTTGAGAATCGTTGAAAGCATCATGCAAATCAATGCGTTCCCCTCTCAGGGCCTTCCCAGGTGCCTTCTTGGAGCGCTTTTGGGGCCGCCTGGGTTGCTTGAGGCGGCTTTGGGCTGTCCGCGAACCCCTAGGGAGTTCGTCCTCGGGGCAGGGAGCCCGATTCGGGCGGTCGCTTGCACGGGGCACCCATGCACGTGGGCGCAAACCCTTGAGGCGTCCGGCCCCGGAGGTCGGCTGGTGGGGAGCCCCAGGTGCGTGGGGCGTCCATGCCAATGGGCGCCGGGCTCTCCGGGGGCCGTGCTCTCCGGGGGTCTGCCCGTAGTGGCGACCATCTGCACGGGGTGTGTCCAGGCAGCTTGGTCTCCGCCCGAGAGAGGGGGAGGAGGAAGGGGAGGGGGAAGAGGAGGAAGAGGAGGAGGCGGAGGAGGAGGAGGAGGAGGGGGAGGGGGGGGGCCAAATTTCCAGTTGGGGGTCCCCTGGGGCGGATTCGGTGGCCCTTTCCTCGCTGAGCCGCGCTGCTTTGGATCGCCCGGCAGTGTTGCCCTCAGCAATGGTGTTGGGCGCTGCCTGCGCCCGCTAAATTGTCTGCCAGTCCCCCCCCCCCCAGGGCAAGCTGTATGCGTGCTCGTGGAACTCGCTCGGCCTTTCTACAGTCGGGCCGCTGAATAAGGAACCCTTCTCGTCGGGGAGGGGCTCAGTGTTCCTTAATTGTGTTTTTGTTCTAGGTGTTCCTTCGGTTTTCCATGGGCAATCGAAGTTCAACTTGTGGAAAAAAGGGGCCTCGTTGTCCTTCTTTAGGGTTCCTTGTGGCAGCAGTTCGACTGTAGTTCTGCACATAACGCCAGTTGGCGCGCTAGTGCTCGTTGCTCCCTCTCCCTCAAACTCGCTCACACTAGCGCGATGGTCAAGAAACCTATTGCCAGACAGGCATTACTGGTGAGCTCCGGCATTACTGGTGAGCTCCGTCGTGAGCTCAGTGGCATTCGGGTGAAGGTTGTAATGTTGGCTTCTCACTGGCTGTTCTTGGACGGTCAGCGCGAGGGCGGTGTCATTACTGCCCCCAGCCAACTCGTCTCCTGCCTCTGCCCCACTACCCGGGACATTCAGTTTATCCCTGGACCCGTTTTCCAGACGAATCCTATTGGTTCCATCGGTCCCCTCGCATTTTTGTTCGACCTGCACGTCCCGAGCGCCAGTGACACCCTCGCCATTTACCCCTCTCGCCCTCGACGCTGAGCGCTGTTTTTCTGCCGCCGGCCCTGCCGGCCATTGCATTCTCATGTGAGACTTTCTAAGGTCGAGGAGCAGCGACTGCAGGGCGCCAATTCGAGAAGGGAGAAGGAGGAGGAGGAGGAGGAGGAGGAGGAGGAGGAGGAGGAGGACGAGAGAGGACGAGCGAGGAGGAAGAGGAGGAGGAGGAGGAAGAGGAGGAGGCCTCTCAGCGATGGGGCCCGAGCTCGTGCATGGCAGCGGCCTGTGCTTCGCACTGCAGAGCTGCATCAAGAGCGCGACGCTGGACGCGAGGTTCGCGGCGGGGGAATTGCGCGCGCCCGTGGATTGGACAGAGCCTAGTTTTAAGTCGGGTTTGTCCCTCGACAGGAGGAATATCTCAGAAATCGTCAAACATAGTTTGGGGGCGATTTCTCCATTGTTCTTTGCATATGTTTGAATATTTTCGACTCTTTTACACTTTTCGTTCCAAAGCCGCCTGTAGGATGACACGCCCGACCGAAAACTAGACGCGAGGTTCGCGGCAGGGGCAGTGCGCGCGCCGGTGGATTGGACAGAGCCTGGCTTCGTGCTGTCTAGTGCGCGGGCAGGCATTCTTTGCATCCTCTCTCTCGGCCGACGACGCCGAGCGCCCACTTTCCTCGTTCTTTCTCGATCGAGCCGTGCGAGCTGGATCCCCATTACCCTCCATGCCCGGGCGGACTGGCAGCCGCGAGCTGTTCTGCACCATCCCGAAAAGGGGCCATCGCTCAGACTCCATGGGGCATGCCTGACCTGGACCGGCTGGGAGCGATTAAGAACAAGTTATTTTTGAGACAGCAGACACGCGTTGAGATTCTAGAGCGCGAGCTCTCCTCGCCTACGCTGAGGTTGAACATCACTGCCCCCCCCCAGGGGCGTCGCGTGGCCGCCGTCTCGGCCGCGCGTGGATCACTGCTCGCGCAATTCGCTGTCGCCCTTCCCGCCAGCAGCATCTTATGCAGGTTACCTCTCAATGTGCCAACACCCTGGGCTTGCGCGCGCTGACCCGTTCGATCCAACTCCGGATCCTGGGCCGCGAAGTCAGCGAGGCAGAGCTTTGCAACCCCCCCACCCTGAGATCAAGAAGAACCTCCCATGTAGAATCCTGCGCGACCAGGAGATCTGGCGTCTTCTCGCAAGCAGGACTGTCTCCTTTTGCGTCCACGTCTCCGATGGCCCCCCCGTGCCAGTCTGAGACGACGCTCCGCCGAGGCTCCGAGCCGGCACTGGCCCCGGCCGTCCCCCCCGCCCGCCCTGGGCGCACCCCTGCGGGATGAGATCGGCTCGTTTGCCGGGGAAGTTCCTGAGACGCTCCCCCTCTGCACGAACGAGATGGGCACGGAAAGAATGGGTACGATGCCCAACAGCGGTTCCTGTTCATTTTGAACCTGACTCGCTGTCGGTGTCGCCGCGGCCTGTGTACATTTGAGACAGAAGGCCGCTTGCCCAACAGCGGCCGCTGCTGGTTTGGGACAACATTGGTTGTTGGGCATTGTGCCCATGTTCTCCGTACCCACTTCGGGCGTCCAAACCACCGCTCCCGGATGTTCTCTCCGTGGACATGGGCAGGCCACGTCGGTGCGCGGGCTCGCGGCATGCCGGGGGCGAGGCCGGCGCCCCGCACGGCGCCCGGAAGGTCCCTTGGCGCGTCGAGGGCCCCGCGCGCATCTCCCGCGCTCTCCTCGGGGAGCAGCTGCTCGCTCCCACCTGCCGCGCGCTGGGGTCTGAGTCCCCCGCGGGGCGCCCTTGCCCAATGGCGTTGAGGAGCAAGGCTCGTCCTTGGCGGTGATCAGAGGCACGCAGAATGCCCCTCCGCTCAGCCGCTCAGCAAGACCAACGCGGAGATCATGCCCCTGCCCAGGGGCGTGACTCATCCTCCCAAAGAATTGGCCTTTCTCGCGACATGCTCTCGATTATCGTTGGCGCTAGGGCCGGGGGATGGAGCAGCGCGTGCTTGGGCGTCAGACCGCCTGCGCGTTTCTCACCGACTTTACGCAGCTGTTTACTCCCTCTTGCCATCCCGCGGCCCCAGCGCGTGCTTGCGCGCATGAACATCCCCCCCCCCCCTTAACGTCCACTTTTTCTCCCTCCACCGCCAACTGAGCATAGCTGCCGCATCCGCCGGTGTTCGCAAGCGGTGGGCATTCTGCATGCTCGGCGGCAGGGCTGTCGAAGCCGCATGCAGTTATTCGTCTTAGTTTCCGACCCTCTTTCACGTTGGTTGACGTTTAAGCAAGCGCAGCATATCGACATAACCTCTGCCTACTCCGATGATGTCTGCTTCGGCCTCCCTTGCGAAGTTGACTCACTGGGCCCTCTTCTCAACTCGCGCCCGAAATCTTGAAGTCCGTTGGCGTCCGCCTCGGTTCCCGTATGTGCCGGACACGCGGTCTTTGAGTCCTGGGACGTGCCCGTTCGATCCGCCATTCAAGGTCATGCGCGCGTCCGTCCTGTTCATCATTCAACGACGTGACATGAACCTCCAGCTTACCCATGTCTATCGTTACCATGCCATGTACCTCGCTGCTGGCCCCAGGACCGCCTGTCGCATGATCTGCGTTCAGCCGTCGGAGCTGCACATGTCTCTTTTATGTATGACGCTGCTACGCTCGCTGAAAGCACCTGTCTGCATGTTGAAGCACCCTCACTTTGGCGCGGTGCTTGAGCACCTCAGCTGGACTCTCATGCCGATGGCCCCGATTCTTAGCTGTGAACGTGGTATATGGCTGGTCGGCTGGTTGTTTTCTATTCTATATGCGTAAGCTGCATCAGTGGTGCCACCAGATCCCGGGGGGCTCCTTTTGCAGTTCAAGCAGCTTCAGGTTGACATAAGCGAGGCGCTATGGTCCTCATTATGGTTCCCAGAAGGCCCCCGTCTTACTCTCCTAAAGGTGCCCAACCGTTGATGCTCTATGGGTCCCGGCCTCATATAGAAACATTTGGATTACTTCCTGCTCGGTGCTCTCGAAGGCGCAGCCATACTTCTCGGTTGCATGGATTCCGCATGCTTACCCGCAGTGTTTGCATGCCTGCCTGCGTTTACTCTCGCCCACCAGAATGCACCGTAGGCTGCCCGCCGCATGAGCCCACCAACTTCGACTCAGCAGTTCACTATGCTTTCTGCCCGCGCCGCCACCACTTGTTTTCGAAATGGCTCGGTCATCTATTACTGCCCTTCTCGCCGTTTCCTGGGGGTGCTCCCTCGCTCTCGAAAGTCACCATTCCCATCCGAAGACCACTGGCCGTCAAATGTTCTCGTTGTTGTTTGTCTTGCTGCCTTTCTCTCGCTCCATCCCGCCCGTCGGCGGCGGGTCCAAATCGCGCCTGATGAGCCCTTCGAGGCTCGTCTACGCCGCGCATCGCGTCGCTGCAATTTTCTTGCTGTTGTCTGGAGACGGCAGAACATCGCGCGCCCCCTCCCCCCCCTGCTCCGCGGCTGTCCCCCTGTCCCCTCGCCTGGCGCCCCTAACACGGAAGCCCCCAGCATTGGGAGGACCGCCTTCGACGTGGCAGGTGGTTTGAAGGGCCGGAGTAAGTGATGACAGCATGGTTCACGATTGTCGCAAGTTTATTGCTCTCGCGAAAAACGCTTGCAGAGTTTCATGTGTTCCAAGTCGACTGCGCCAATGGTGCCCCGCCACCATCGTTGTGCCTTTGTGCCTCGCGCCTCGGCGCATTGATGCGGGGGGGGGTCTTTCGCGGAGGTTTCCGAGTGAATCGATGCAGCGACGTGCCATGTGTTGTAATACGTGTTCCCCCAGATTTCTGATCGTAAGGGCCAATCGACTTGCCCTGATGAGGGATGTGTATCAGCATGCGGCCCAGCAGTGAATCGCATTCGTCTTTGAATCGGTTCGCCCCGGACGCTAGGAGTCGCGATTTGTGTGATGGGTGGCTCTGGGTGCCTGCATTATGCCTCTTGGGGGCATTTTTGACAGTTTGTCTTACAATGCTTTTTGCCGCGTTCGTGGAACGCTTTTGGGGTCACCCTGGAACTTCCTGGGGGCCCTGTTGAGGGCCTCTTGGGCCGTTCTTTGAAGCCTTGTGGCCATCTTGGAAACCACCGGTCGAACGTACGGAGTAGTCAAATTGTGTCCCCCCGTCGGGGCCCGACAACGAACCTCTTGGGCTGGCCTTGAGCGTTTTGGGGGTCGTTTGGGGTTTTTGTTATGGTCCCTTTTGGGGCCCTCGTGGCTCATCCTGGAGCCGTCGTCAAGCCCCATTAGCGTTCCAGAAGAGAACAGGCGAGAAAACAGACCACAGTCAACAGCAATTTGCGTGTTGAAGGATTGTGGTTTCTTGGTGTCTTCCTTGGTTCGGAGGCCATTTGGAGCCACCCTTGGGCGGTTTTGAGAATTCTTGCAGGCATGTTGAAAGCTAGCTTGAACAATCTTGCAAGCGATCTTGGATGCCATCTTAAGCTTTCTGGTGCCCTCTGAGAGCCCACTTGGGCCACGGGAGAAAGTGCGTTAGCAATTCACGCCCAGAGGGCTGGTGGAACTGCTGCAAAGTTTGAAGGCGAATGTGCGCGGCGCCAAGGCGAGAACCACAGTTTGAGAACCACCCGCATTTCATTCTTGAAGCTGTTGGAAGCTTTCGAGACGAATGCACGCGGCGCTAAGGCGAGAGCCGACTTGTGAAAACCACAGGGAGGGGGCAGGGGACAAAGGGAGGAGGCGGGGGAGGGGGAGGAGGACGACGAACGCTACAAGCATAGCCAAATCAAGTTTGCGCAACCGAACAGGAGTAGGAAGGAGAACGAGGAGGCGACAAACATGTGGGAGGGGAAAGGGGCTCGGACTTCGCATCGCTAGAAAAAGGTCTGATCCGATTCCGATGTTCCGACTGTCCGATGCGGCTGCGTTGTTGTGCATCGTGGCGCGGCCTATCCGACTCGAATGCAACTCCGTGCCGATGCGGCCAGGTTCGAGGCAAGTTCTGGTCCGACCTAACGATTCGATATTGACCGCTCCTCGGGATGATCACGCGGGGAGCGCAAGGATGCGGAGGAGGAGGCGGAGGTGCTTGGCGACCAGGCGTGTGAGGAGGAGCAGCCTGTTGCAACCCAGGTGGTTGACTTGGTCAACTACATCCTAGGCTTCCTTCAGGCCAGTTGGGGGGCGTCCTATACCCGCCCACCCATCTATCTGCATCCTCCCCTTTGATCCTCTTCGTCCTCCGTGTCCGCCCTCATTCCTGCTGCCACTCTGCCGCCTCCGATGATGAGGATGAGGATCAACGATGACGATGATGATGATGATGCTGATGATGATGATGATGATGATGATGATGATGAGAAGGATGAGGATGAGGAGGAGGAGGGGGGTAATGATAATGATGACCAGAATGATGATGACAAGGATGATGATGATGAGGAGGAGGAGGTGGAGGAGGAGGAGCATGAGGTGGATCAGGATGACAATGAGGAGAAGATTGTGGATGATGATGCTGATGATGACGAAAAGGAGGAGGACGAGGGTGATGATGATAATTGTACAGGTGGCGATGCTGATCGTGATGAATGAACCGACGATGATGATGATGATGATGATGATGATGATGCTGCTGTTGATGCTGATGGTGCTTAGTTGTGGTCAGTTGTTGATGATGCCGATGCTGACTATGAAGATGGGGATGACGATGGTGATGATGATGATGAATGTGATTATGATGATGATGACGATTTCGATGATGTGGATGAGGATGCGGATGAGGATGATGAGGAGAGTGGTGATGATGATACAGCGATGATGGTCATAGTGATGAGTATACTGGTGCTGATGATGAGGAGGATGCTGATGATCATGCTGGCGCGGATAATTATGGTGGCGATGCGCATGATGATGCGGAGTAGGATGTCGATGGTGATGATGTTGCTGTTGCTGATTATGATGATGATGATGATGACAATGATGCTAATGACGATGATGATGATGGTGAGACGGAGAAGGTTAAGGAGGAAGATGAGGATGGGGACGAGTTCGTGTATTGGGATGATGTAGATGCTGGTGATGAAGATGAACATGATGATACTCACGAGGGTGGTGCTGATGCAGATGATGACGATGCTGATGGTGATGATGGTAGTGGTGGCAAAGATGCTGATGATACTGACGAGGATGATGATGGTGATGATGCTGGTGGTGGTGATGATGATGATCGCTACTATGATGGTGATGTTGATGCTGCCGATGACGATGAATATGATGATGATGGTGCTGATGATGAGGGTGACGATGATGATAATGATGATTTTATGGTTCATGCGACTGGTGATTATGACGATGAGGATGAGGATGAGCTGCGGATGAGGATAATGATACGGATGATGCCGATGATGCTGCTGCACGTGATGATGATATTAATGAGGAGGAGGATGATTCGGGTGATAATGCTGACGCGGATGATGACGACGAGGGTAATGATAATGTTGATGGTGATGATGATGACACGGATGCTGATGACGAGGATGATGATGAGGACGACAATGATGCTGATGATGATTGTGATGAGCAGGAGGATGACGAGGAGGGTGATGATGATGCTGATGACGTCGAGGATGATGGTGACGAGGAGGATGTTCATGCTGATGATGAGGAGGAGGAGGATGAGGGTAAATATCAGGATGACGATGATGAGGATGCTAATGGAGATCACGACGGTGACGATCATCATGGTACTGACGATGTTGATGATGATAATTATGCTGGTGATGCAGAGGAGGAGGAGGAGGATAATAACGATGATGATGGTGTTCGTGATGACGAATATGATGTTGATGACGATGATGCTGATGATGGTGAGGTTGGGGATGAGGATGCGTAAGCTGACGACGCTGATACGGATGTGGACGATGCACAGCAGGATGATGGTTATGATAATTGTGATGATGATACGGATGATGATGATAGTGAAGAGGAGGAGGATGAGGGTGAAGATGACGACGAGGATAATGATGCCGAGGATGATGATGATGACGACGATGATGAGTAGGATAAGGAGGATGAGGATTATGATGAGGATGGGGATAATGATGATGATGATGATGATGATGGCGGTGATGCTGATGATGATAATGACGATGATGATGCTGATGATCATGATGAGGATGCCGATGATAATGGTGGTGGTGATGATGATGACTACGATTGATAAGGGTCATAATGGGGATGGGGAATCTGAGGATTGTGAAATCGATAATGACCAGAATGATGAGGATGAGGATGATGATGATGATGTTGGTGGTCGTGATGACTATTGTCATGTTGATGATGCCGATGAGGATGAGGATGAGGATGAGGATGAGGATGAGGATGAGGATTGGGATGATGAGGATGAGGAGGAGGATCATAATGATGATAAACGTGCTGCTGCTGATGTTGATGCTGTTGACGATTCGCCCCAGCTTTCCAGAACGCTCTGCGTCGGCCGCAGCGCCCGTTACATCCTCCAGGTCCGCCAGTTTTAAGGGATGCTCGATGTATCCTTATCCTAATGTACATATGTTCACCATCATCATGCATACATACACCTGAGTAGCCAACTGACCTCGTCCCGTTTTCTCCATGGGCCGTTGGCGCCATCCACGCATAGCCTGTGATCGGGGGCCTGGATCAGTGCACGAATGCAGGTCGTCCACGACAGCAACTTGGCTCCCTCGTCGGCGGTGGGTACTGATACGCCTAAGCGAGCCGAGGAAAAGGCGAAAAACGTACGGTTGAGGCTCAGCGCCAGCGTTGTTGCGAGAGGGCAGCCAGTCAAACGAGTTTGGAGGGTGGCAGAGGATTGTTGTTCGTATGCTTTTGTTGTGTACTCGAATCGTCTGTTTTCCATTGCGTTCTTGTAGTGTACAGCAGAAGTTGACTTGTGGCTAGTTGGTGTAGCTCTTTTTTTACGTTGCATCTGCGGGGGGCCTCGCCTGTCCCCCAAATTGGTGTCGTTTCTTGTGCCCGACGCTGGCTCGATGCGGACCCTACGCGGATCTGGCATGAATTCGCCGCGGATTTGACACGGATTCGACACAGATCCGACATGGATTCGACACGGATTCGACGCGGATAGGACCGCGATAGGACAGGCATGTTCTTCCGAGGATGCAACATGATGTGTTTGTTCGAGTGACCTCAGGTACAGCGGGGGTTCATGCCAAGAAACACCTTGCTCGCCTCCAGAGTGCCCCGTTTTTCTTGGGTGGGGCGTGATGGTTTTGCCATGGAGAGCGCGACGTTCTCACACCAAAAATCCATTCACGTCCTGGGGTCTCAGGGTTGGGTTTCTTGTGGAAGGTTTCTTGTGGACTGGCCCCCACTGTAATGTTCTTGCTCGAGTGACCTCGAGTACACCACAGTTGTGCGTCGCCAGGCAGCATCGCCCGGTGGCGCGCCAGACGGCTCCTCGGCTCGCCTAGTGGCCGCGCCCTCGTTGGCTGTGGCCCCCTTCTCCCGCCGCCTGGCGTTGGCTCCTGCTGTGCCTTGCCATCGGCCACAAAATCGAGCAGTGACGAAGCGTCCTGGCTTGCCTAGAGGCCCACCAAACAATTCTCTACGAGCTTTTTGAGGTCTGCACGACATCTTCCTGGAACATTCCTGCCCGAGACTGTCTTGCTCTAGCACATCGGATGTATGTTCTGAGCACACTGCTTCTGTTTTTCAGGCCTTTACGGGTTTTAAGAAGATGCCGTGGTAGGCCTATTGGAATGCCAGCACGGTCCATCCCTTCTTAAAATAATCTGTCCTTTCGTTCAGAGACAGATTACTGGACCCTTGCGAGCCCCCTCTGGTCGTGTCGCGGAGCCCTTTAGCAGATTCTCTCCTGGCTCAGGGCCGACAACACAAAACAGGAGTTTGTGTCAGAGAGCTCCAGGAGGACGGGGAGGAAGAGGGGGGGGGGCACAGAGAAATGAGGTGGGAGGATTGCTAGACCCAAGGAAGCGAGCGAAATTCTGTAGCGCCGACTTCAGCCGCGAAGGAGACGAACCCGGGAAGCCCGGCGGGCACCAACCCCAGGAACTCGAAGCACCCCAGTTCTTCCCGTTCCGCCCCCCCTCCCTTTCCCCTGTTTTCCCATCCCTTCCTTTTCTGTCTTGTACCCTCCCCTGCCTCCTCCCCTTGCAGTCGAAATCCATAGTAAGACTGCTCTTCTTCATCACGGCTACCCTTGCATCCTTGCTGTTTCAGCCCATCCTGGGCCAAGGTTGACGTCCAAGGAGCTCGAATTGACATATGGGACCTCAAGGGTCTTGGATCCTTACCTTGCATAGTTATTACTGATTGTGGATTTTGACTGTATCCTTCCCTCCTCCCATCCCGTGTCATCTGCCCCGCTGCCGCCGTCTTTCGGTGGCAAGTCATGAGAGCGTGGTGTACCCTCTCAATGAAATCTTTAGCGTCGACTTGCGTCGATAAGCGTCTTGGAGTCGGTGCCATAGCGCCGATTTAGTGTCGGTTCGCGTCGATTTAGCGTCGATTAGCGTCGATTTAGCGTCGACTTAGCGTCGATCCGCAAGAGCCGACGAGATGGTATGGGAGGCCCTCATGAGTTGCCACCGAGCCGTCCGTCGCCTGGCCGCCCAGTGAGGTGTCCATCGCCAAGCCCTTCGTGGAGTCTGCCGCGCAGGCGGGGGCGCGCGCGAGGGGGGGTGCACGGAGGGGAGGGGGACCTTAAGGCCCAGGGAGGGTTCGAAAACAGCGAGGTTGAAGTCGGGCATGTCCCTCTACAGGAGGGGTGTTCGAGAATAGTCAAAAAATGTGATGGGGACGATTCCTTGACTATCTTTGAATCCTCTTGAGAAGGTTTTGATGTTGTTTTATTTGTCCTCCAGATTCTGCCTGTAGGAGGACATGCCCGACCTAAAGCTAGGGGGATCTATAACCTTATTTGAACTGGCGCGAACCTCGGGGGCAGTCAGAGGGGGCAGACCTTCTCAGCGAGCAGTGGGGGTTCTCACAAGCCCTCGCGCCTTCTGAGACGCCGTCTCTGTCTCTGCAGAGGACTTAGGGAACTGCGCAGAAGGCGCGAGAACGTCTGAGATGCCCCGCCGCCTTCTGAAAAGGCCTGCCCCGTCTCACTTCCCCCTTGGTTTCGCCGCCGATTTAACACACTTAGCGCAGGTCGCAGCATCCGCTTTGTTATGGCACCACGTGGTTTGTTTCTGCGTGCGTGTTGTGGTGTGGTTTTGTGGGAGGTCGTCGTCCACTGTCAGGGGTCCGCGCGTCTGAAAAGATGGCGATGGCGGCTGGATAAATGTTGATGGGCAGATTTGCAGGTGGTGAGTTGTTCTGTTGATCGCTGCCGCAGACAAGTTGCGAAGTTTCGCGTATGAGAAGCTAACAGCATTTCTCGCGGTAATCCGCGGCATATAAGCATGTGATGGCGTCATCTGTTGCGTATAGTTCGATGTCCGAGTGGTTGGGTAGGAACGAGCAAGGGCTTGTTATGTTTATTGATGTTACAATCGCCAACCACCTCTCTCATGCACATTTCAGACGTTCTACTATGGGACTCATCCCAGGGTTTCGGAAGCAGAGGTCGTCCCCTCATCGGATTCTACATGAAGGCAGGTCTGTACAGGAGCATGGCAGTGGTCACGTCCCAGCAGGACAATCGCTCTACTAACCACGCCATGGTTATGCGATGCTGGTGTGCTCGGCAGTGCTGCTTGCATCCTCGGATGCTGCTGCTTCCATGTTTCAGTAAACGGTTGAAAACAGGTAGTGGGTTAGCAGAGAGGGGGGCACGAGAGGAGAGGAGGCGGATAAGCAGGGGCAGTGCATCTCACAGGAACCCGTTTCCGTCTTGTCACCATATTTGTCGTTTCGTGTCTATTGTTCTCGTGTTTGCTCCCTTTCGATGTCCCTTCGCAAACCCGTTTTCCCAATTCACTAGCACAGTTCTTTCAGCCTTGAATTGTCCGTTGCGCTCCCCTTGGAGGATTGGAGCAAGCTCGGGTGGGTCCCCCCAACAGTATGCATATCGTTCGGGCTCGTTGTATACGTATTGTCGGGAGTATAGTAGAGGGAGGTGTACATGGTGCTCACGACCGCCCTTATCATGGGCGGACTCTTCGGCCTCATCTTCGGCATCATGGATGTTGAGGAGTCTCCCATGGCGTGCAAATTTGTTGCAGATTGGCAGCTTCGACGAAGCAAGCACATATCTGCGCAGCATCACTTCTCTACTGACTTAGGGGAATGTGACCAGCACCATTCGTAGAACGCGAGTAATGTTAAACATGCAGTATGGATAACGGGTGTCAAAGTGGTCATTGAGAGATACGCGCGAGGAAGGGTACATTTAATATGTTTGTCATCGTGGATCCCAAAAAGCGTGTTAGTGCATCCTCGATGTGCATTCGGTATAGTGCAACATTTGCGGTAATATCCATGTGGTGGAGTATGGGGATGCAATGCGTTTGGTGCAATCTACACCCGCGTTGTGGAAAATATGTTGCCAGGACTGAAATCGTCAACACTAACGCTCGTGCAAACATCCCACCCACCCACCCGCGACTTGCTGGCCAAACTCAACACGGCGACAACGATTATCGCGATGCTGATGATCATGTTCATGGCGACGGTGGTGGCGATGTTGACGACGCGGATGGTGATGCAGGTGGAGGTGATGGTGATGATAATGCCAGTGGCAATGGTAAATACAACGCGGGTGGCGATGATGATCATGGTGTTTGTGAGGATGACGAGGCTGTGCGCGCGAACAGAAAGAAGGGGACGGTATCGACGATGACGATCATGACGACGGAGGTCATGATGACGACCATGGTGTAGATGACGGTAATGATGGTGGTGGTGGCGATGTTGATGATGGTTAGATATATTGATGATGACATTGACGACAGTGATGATGCCGGCGATGATGATAATGGCAGTGTTGATGAGAATGACGATGTCTGCGCTCAGAGCTTTGACAAGGGCGACGGCATATATTATGACGATGACGGCGGTGGTGATGTTGACCACTATTGTGGTGACAAGATGATGGTCCTGATAAGCGGATGGTGGTGACAAGGGGTGGTGATAATGACGATACAATGGTGTTGATGAGAATGATGATGAAATGCGCGCGCAGACATTCATAATGGCTTGCAGGCGTATTAGATTCATAAGTTGTTTCCTTGTGTGTCGACAGGCTCTGCCTCGACAGGCTTAGGATACAGCTAGTTGTGCAAGGATTTCGAGGTTCACGCGCGGAGACGCGCGCGTGTGGCCCGCAAGGACTCATTTGGCACACTTCGTCCGGCGCGCTTGGCGGAAAGTCTCAGGGCAGTTTTTCTCTAACTACTTCGGCGAGTGCGCGCGTGTGCACAAATGTGGCGTTCGTTTCGAACAGGTTTTGTTTGTGTTGAAGTTTTCCACGGGCATGCTTTTCATTTGTAGAACATATGCTCATCGGAAGGAAGTTGATATGCACGCGCGGCGGTGCGCTCTGGTGTCTTGGATGGAATTTGAAGTTTTTGGATTAATGCATCTGCCCCCCTCGCATCGCAGTATCTCACAAGGACGAACGAGGGGTCGATACAGGCACTGGTTGGCGTGCTACAACTTGATATTCCTGGATGAGCAGGCAACACGCTACATGCTGGCCAACAACAACAGCCCGAGGGGAGGGGGGGAGAAGTCTGGCCTCGGCAGGGGGCGGACTCTCATTCCCAGCATGGGAAAGACCATCGACACGCCGGTCAGCTCACGAGGCGGCCACCGAACGCCCGGAAGAACGCCGGCCAGCGCACGAGGCGGCCACGATGCCGCCACGTGGGGCGCCCGCCCAGCGACAGTTCGGAGACGCGGACAGCCAGTGCGCGGGGCGGCCTCGAGCCGGCCGCGGGCGCCCACCTCGGTGGCCGAGAGGAGGACCATGGGCGGCCTCAGGACCCCATGGGCGAGTGCTGGCGTCGCCAGCCAATGTGCGGGGCGGCCACGAGGCGGTCACGGGTCGAAGAAGAGAAGACGCCACAGAAACGCCACAAACAGAAACGTTTGGCGCTCCGCGCGGGTTTCTTGGATCCGCGCTGGACCCCCCCCCCGGCGGCGCCCCTGGCGCGCGCTCCGCGCGCGAGGGAGGGGGGTCAGCGCGGATCCCAAAAAGCCGCGAGAAGCTGGCGTTTTTTCTTTTTCTAAGGGGGGGCATCGGGCGGAAAGGTGGAATTCGCATGCCAATCGCCTTTGAACGCAACGGGGGCCCCTTGGTGCGCAAGTACTTCTTCGGGAAGATTTGCGGATCTAGAGAGAACGTGCCATCCGAATAATGAGGCTTCGAAAGGCTGTGTGGTCGATCGCGAAAGCGGAGTGATTGAAGTAACAGTGAGCGCGACGTTGATCAGATCTTGCGTTTGTGGTAAGCGTACGCGCCATACAGAAGGGACATCCACACGAGAGGGTGCATTTCGAAATTTCGTGTTGTTCTGAGGCTGCTCGGTGAAGATGTGGCAGACCGAATGCGGAGAGCACACATGTGCGTCATCACATGTTGCTTTTGCGTCGTTCTTGACCTGACTTTCGCCCGAGGACGAGGTGAGCTACCAGATACGCCTTGCACTGCTGAGAGAGGACGCGCTCTTACCGTCGACCTGATTCACCACCCACCAAAACACCCCAACCCAGCCCGACGGCCTCGATTTGCCCTCCATTTCCAGAGTGGGGGAGGCCGGGAGCATTGAGAAGACACATATGGAACCCGTACCCCCCCCCAAACCCGAAATTCGGGTCTTCGGGTTGGGTTGGGGTGGTCTGGTAGGTAGTCATAGATGGCTGTCAGGCCGGCAATTTTTCAGATTGCCGCTACGGGGGCGAGCCGTAATGCCTGGGCCCCAGGTGGCATCGCCCCGTCATGCGGTGTGCTGCCAGTGACGCTCGCGGAAGCCGCTGCCCGCCAGACGCGCAGTCCTGCACTCCCTTGTGCGGGTCGTGTGTGGCGGTCCCCCCTTTCCGCCCCTAATTCGGTGCACGTGCCTGAGCTGGGTACGGCGCCGCCCAGACCCTTGACCGCTCGCTCTGCGCGCGCGTGGCATCTGGTCACAGAAGAAAAGTCAAGCTTCGCATCCTGCATATCGAGCTGCCTGTGGTAAGTCTGCCGCCGTGCCGTGGCAGCCAGGCGCTCTGTGTGGCGACCATGTCGAGCACCGCCCAGGGGGGCCGTCACGTGTGACGCCTCTCGTCGCCGTTTCTGGAGAAGCCCTCGGGGGCGCGCAGACGTGGATTAGCGATCCATGGATTCGGCGCGCGGTCGCCAAATCCATGGTTCGGGGGACGCGCCCTCCCCCAAATGCGGCCGGCGCCGCCTCGCTCGGCGGCGGAAATCCGCGATTCCCCATGGAAATGGGACCCGTCTCTAATCCACGCCCCCCTGATCCACGTTTGCGACCGATTGCGGGGCTTCTGCGGGCGGTATTGGGTTTGTTTTTAGGGACACGAAGAGTGACATAAACATAGAAGCTCGGAGGTCCGCGCGGACTTCTCTGATCGGCGGTGGACCCCCCTTCCCTGGCGCGCGGAACGCGCCAGGGGCGGCGCCGGAGGCGCCGCCAAGGGGCCCCAGCGCGGATCCGAGAAATCCGCCCGGACCGTCTGGAGTTTTTATGTTTATGTCGTTGTTCGTTGCCCTAGTATTGGGCCTGTCTTGGGCTCTTGCGGAACATTCTTGGGGGTCTTTTGGAGACCCGTTGGGCCCTCTTGGGCCGTCCTGGGGCCATACTGGCTGTCTAAATTCAGGCGTTTTTTTGGGGCCGTCGAGAGGCCGTCCTACGTCATCTCGGGGCCTTTCTGAGGCCGTCTTGTGCTTGCTTGGGCTTCTCTTGGGCCCGTCTTCCGCCGCCTGGGGGTTCTCACTGGGGTCCCTTGGGCTTTCCAAGCCACAAGTGGAGTGGTCTTCGCCGAAGAACGTGGAAGCGCAAAGCATGGACAAAAACTCGGAACATCCATGTGATTGATCAGTCGAGGGCCTCCTTGAAAGCGTTTTGGTGGTGCCTCGGAGCCTTTGGGAGGCCTCTTGGGGCTCATTTGGCGGGCGATCTGTATGGGCTGTTGGGTGCGCCTTGAAGCATCTGTGGGCAATCTGAACAGCCTTGGTGGATTTCTTGGGCTGCTTTAGAAGCTTCGGGGAGCCTTGGACAGCCCCAGGGACGCATCGGCCCGCCCAGGAAACTTCGAGAGGTGGGGGGCCGTTGTGTGCGGTTCTGACGAGGACGGGGGGTGCTCCCTTACAGGATTCCCAGCAGCATTTGGCACTCTACCATGCCTCAACGTGCGAGTGGGCGCCGCGGCGGATTATAATCCCCCCCATACGTCTTTGTCGATCGACGCCGTCGATGGAGTATTTTTTCCTCCGCCCCCTTCCTGTTCCATGCCCCTCAGCTTTTTCCTTTTCTGTTACTCCCTTTTCCGTCCTCCGCATCCCTTCTGCATTCCTTTTCCTTGCAGATAAGTCCTCCCTGTCGCACCCCGAGGCCGGTCCAAAGGGCGGGCCGTGCGTTCTTCAAGTTTAAAGACTGGCAGCAGTTTTAAAGATGGAGGGCAGGTCGCTTCCAAAATGCGTTTTTCGCCTTAGCGCCGCGCGCCGTTGTTCTCACACTGCTACAATAGTTTCACAGATTCAGGGTGGGTGGCTTTCAACATGTGGTTTTCGCCTGAGCGCAGCGCAGATTCATTTTCGAAGTTTGCAAGAGCTTCATGGGTTGAGGGCGGATGGTTTTCAACATGTGACTCTCGCGTGAGCGCCGCGCACAGTTGTTTTTTTTTATCAACGTTTGCACAAGCTTTATGGCTTGATGGCGGGTGATATCAAATGTGTTTATTGCCTTGGCGCCGCGCAAATTTCGTTTGGAAGTTTGCAACCGTTTCATACATTGGAAGCGGTTACGTATCCCCACATGTTTCGTGATATGATGGTTTTCTGTTCAGCCGCGCCCAACACGCGAGGACCATACCTCACCGGATTGGTGAACCTTCCCACCCAAATGGGATCTGCGTTCCCACACGCACGCTTCCCCCCTCCTGCTTTTTCTCACCTTCACTCGCGCGCGCACCATACACAGACGATTGTGTTGTCTGACGCAGCACGGCACCCGCACACGCATGATACACGCCAGCCACACAGACGCGGACCACACACATACACACAGCACACATGCGACACGCATACACAGCGTGGCATTTTCTTCACACCACAGGGGGTGCGCAGGGTTGGTCCCTCACCGCAGTTTCTACCCGTCTCAGGGTCGCGGGGCGTGGCAGGCGTGGCACTTTCTCAGGGGGATCCGCAAGGGGGTGGTCCCTCACCGCGGTTTCTACCCGTCTCAGGGTCGTGGGGCGTGGCAGGCGTGGCACTTCCAAATTCCAGGCTACAGAGAGTGTTCAGGGGGTGGTCCCTTTCCGTGGTCCCTATCTGTCTCAGGGTCGCGGGGCGTGGCAGGCGTGGGTGGCACTTCCTCCACACCACAGGGAGTGCGCAAGGGGGTGGTCCCTCACCGCGGTCTCCATCCGTCGTGGTCTCTTTCCGTCTCAGGGTCGCGGGGGCGTGGCAGGCGCGGCACCTCGTCAACGCCGCAGGGGGTGCGCAGGGAGCCAGGTCTCGTCGCGAGTTTCCGACCTCACGCGTGGCACTCCATCGGTTGTATTGGCGGGGGCTTGCGTGGTATCGGCAATTGGCTTGATGCACGGCAGATGCGGTTGGAGGTTTCCTGCGGAAGATCGCGTCCCGTCTCCTTGTTATTTCTTGGACGTTGTCGAGGGTTTTTCGCCGAAGATTGTGTCCCATTGCGTTTTTATTCTCCTGAGCTTGATCGAGGCCCTTCGTCGAAGATCATGTTCCGTCGAGCTTTTCTGCGCTGTGGGCGCCGAGGATGGCTCCCTGGGTGTCTCCAGAAACAAACAACACATCCTGCAGTCGGCCCGGATGAGTAGGTCGACCCTGCCAAATCAAGGGTTCCCTTGTGTTTTGTGCTTCGCGACCTGTGCCTCCTGCATTCCTATGGCAACGTGGCCCTCGGAAGGGTCTTTTGTCCTCTCGAGTGCCCTGT